AATTAAAGACCTGAAATATTTCAGTTGGTGTGCAATGAATCTGAAATATATGAAAGTTTCATTTTTATCATTACATTATGGAAAATAATGACCTTTATCACAATATGCTAATTTTTTGAGAAGGACCTGTATATACACACACACACACACAAATATATATTTATATATATACTTTTTTTAATATATATATATATATATATATATATATATATATATTTATATATATATACATACATACATATATACAGTATTAAGACCTCTTCCTGCACTCTTGCAATGTTCTAAACTCTTAAACCTTCATCATTTTAACAACATGCGTATATGTACTGTACAGTAGCTATGTACTGCAACATTTTATATGGGTACTAACCAGCCTTGGTTTGGTTCTGATCGGCTCTCTGCAGCCGTTGAGTACCAAAACCACACAGTGGTCCCGATCAAGTCCAAATAATCCCGTGGGATCCAATGAAAAAAGTCCTAGTGAACTCTCTTAGAAAACACCGGACCTCCAAGCAACGCCTTCCTGCTCGAGAGGCCTCATGGATTGGCAAGCATCACTCAGATTGACCGATGAGGCTGGAAGTCCGGTCCTGGTCCAATTCCCCGTTGGTTCCATGCGGCTCTCTTCATCCACTGAGCGTTGAAGTCACTTTGAATAAGGACCAAACTTTTTCGGATTGGATCAAAAATTTCCGTCTATTTCAGCAGAAAGCAACAGCCGGAAGCAGGGTTGGCTTCTTGGTAGTGCACTGTTGGCTTCTGGGTAATGTAGTCCTTTTGACAGGCGATACAATATAAGCTTATTGAGAGAAAACTACAAAATGGCAGGGGCTGACCAAAGTTTTTTTTCATTAACATTTACTGTATCCCGTTCCGTCCCAATCACATGATTAATGTTAAAGTTGACAGTCGTGTGTCATCTTTTTATTTATATTTTTGTCGTGTACAATCTTACGTTGAAAAACCGTGAAAGCGCGAGCCCACAAAAGTCAAACCGCGAAGTAGTGAGGGACTACTGTACTAGTTTTAACTTCTCATCATGAAATGATCTTAGTTTAAACTCTGGCATGAAAGGCAGCAGGCAATATGCATTCCTTCAAGGAATGCTAAGCCTTTAAATGATTTATTTATTTGTTATTCCGTAAATTGTAGTCACACCCATAATTTAAAAAAAAAACAGCGTTTTTTGTTCGTATGTTTGTTTGCTTTGAACATCAAGTCGTTTCTTATAAAGAAAATATGTCGAGCCAAAGATTTGCTTTGGAAATGATTGCATGTGAAGTTTGTTTTTCTGCTGTTTTATGTTCCTGGGAACAACTATCATTTACTTTCCTTTTTATGCTTTATTTGTTTCTCTCTCACACTCTCCCATTTTTCCCACTTATTTCAGATTCAAAGCAGATTACAGAACCTTAGTAGCAATTTGCAGAACAAGAGCAATGACATTGAAGTCCTCGCTGTAAGTCCACTGTTTATTTATCCCCCTTTATCACTCCCAGACCTAAGTTGTATTTTTTCCTGCTCTCCCACCTTATCTGCTGAATTCATGTGTGAAATCACAGAAAGAGGAAAAAGCTTTGAGTAGCTAGAACAACAAACATCACGAGGAGCCGTCCCTTTTATAAGTATTTGCCTTGCGCTCTGATCCACTGCTGGTGGTGAGAGGGGCTGTGAATATTTTCCAACGATGAACACTAAACAGAAGGCAGCGCCCATGCCACTTTAAAGCGGGGTGTAAATGGCTGCCATATTGTGTTTATTTGTGGTTGGGTTGCAGATTCACGGTCAGATTCTCTTGAAGTAAGTCTTCCTGCGTGTCTTAATTATAACGTTGCGTCATATTTCAAATGTCAAAGCTGTTTGGATCTGGACTTGATGTGCGACGTCACGGTAAACAAGTTAAAAGCTAACAGGCTAAATCACCTTGATGCATTTACACAGGTCTGTAAATCTTTGCTGGTGCATGTCAGGGGCCTGATTGTATCCCGTATAGGCTAGAAGAATGAGTCTTAGGCTGTTGATATTTTTGCACAATAGCTTGTTGTATATTTGGACTGTGAGATAAGGCTTTTTTGTGCGAGCCCCTGTTCTTTATTCCACAGGTGGACCTGCCAAAGGAAACTCTGATCAACTTCCTGTCTCTAGAGGTTAGTTCCCCATTACAAGCTTTGTCAAAAGCCCAGCACAGTTAATAAAAGGCTGGGCGGGAGGTGTGGGGATGGAAAGAACAGCCAGTAAAGGTCAAGATCCTAGACAGGAAGAGGGAATCCCGTCTCCTTCCTTACAGTCCTGTTCTGTGAGGAGCGAAGCGAGGGAACTCCCCTGCACTCATTCACAGCCTCACAGAGTCATGAAGTAGTTGAACAACCACAGTTTCATGTGTGTGACAGACGTGCACAGCTTAAAGAAAACACGCTTTTAGAAGGTGTTTATATCCACATTCCAAACTCGTTACCAAGACCTTTCGCTCATAAAGTTCCAGGATCTGTTCCATGATGACTAATTATAAAGTGAAGAAATGGGGGTGAAATCTGAGAAATAATTTCAACCCTACTGTTTTATAAACAAAATCCTTCTCTCCATGAGTAAATGGGCCAACGTATACAGGCATACGTGTTAAAAACAACAATGTGTATTGTCAAGAAGTACTTTTTAATTACAGTAGTCCCTCGTTTATCATGGGGGATCTGTACCCTGAAGCCCCGCAATAAGTGGAAAAACTGCGACATAGGCATAGTAGTACAAGTAGTAGTTTAATTTATAATTATATATATATATATATATATGTGTGTGTGTGAAGGTGTTTGACTTGCAATATTCTAAACAATGTTTCTAAACTGAAAACGCTCTAAAAGAGCACAGGATGTCATGATTTCAGTTCCCTGCCTCATCTGCTCTTTGCCACCTGCAAGCGTTCTTGGCCACGCCCACTTCCCCGCTCTGCACAGAGAACAGCTGATCAGCTGCAGCAGGAAGTTTATCCTGCAGTATGGGCTGCACAAATGTGCAGCAGGTGCTAAATAATTTTAAATAATTTTATTTTAAATAAAACATCCATACCGATCGTACAGCTCATCCATCAATCAGCCAATTGTGTGTCATGTCCAATCTTATTTTGAAAAACCGCGATAGAGCGAGTCCATGATAAACGAACCGCGAAGTAGCGAGGGACTACTGTACCTCAAGTTTCAGCTAATGCAAAATTGCAGTTAAAAGTATTTTATTCTTCCTTAATTATTTGTTTTAAACTCTAAGGTTTGCCATCCAACATGACACTGAGTATTGCACTGTCTAAAATTTAGGATATAGTAGACTTAATTTGTTCCAAGTCTTTTTGTATACAGTAAATTCAAATTCCTGTTTATTTTTTATTTTTTATTATTGTTTAGCATATATGTTTAATATCTAGATTTTTACACCTGTCCTTTGTTTTGTTTTTTGTCCAGTTTGAAAGTGAAGAACAGTACAGCAGTAGCATCAAGACTCTGCTGTCTCGCCTCCCCAAGCAGCGTTACCTGAAGTCCATCTGTGATGAGATCTACCACTTTAAAATTACAAAAAGGTACGCCGTCATGGATACTCGTTTAGAGGTTGGGTTAAAATAAAGTGCATTTATTATGTTTCCTGTCAAACAAAGCTTTTCTCAACTGTTATGTTTTGTTTAGTTTTTCTCACTTTTAGTTAGTTTTCTCAAAATAAAGACCCAAAACTAAGACTATGCCTTTTAAAGCCACTTCCTTTCTGCAGACAGCTGCCACTCCTCAACACTAAGCCCACACACTCCAGGTGTACCAGTGACAGTCAGGCCTTCAAAGAGAGCTGTTAGACAGATAACCACTGCCTTGTAAAACATTAAATCCTCTGCTGATCCCATTTCCTGAGGTGAAATCTGGAAAAGTTTTTTTTTTTTTTCTTTGCCTTGTTTGGTCCTCTTGTGTCTGCCTCGTAACACCTCCGCTGACTGACGTAGACCAGCACCCCCCCGGGTTTGAGCTGCGGGGTGTTCAGAGCTGATTTGCTTGTTTCTTAAATGAGACGATAACAAGGAGGGGGAGAAAAAAGAAGAAAAGAAAAATCAAAGCGTCTCCAGAGCAGTTGGTTTTAATTTTCTGTCTCTGCTTTGTGTTTGAGCTGACATTTTGGGCAAGGGGGGTAAAAGACTCGACTGATAAACGAGCAACACAGAGGCAACAATGGATACATTCAGCATGCGTTTGTGTCCTTTTTGTGTAGCTGTTTTCTTTAAATGTGAGGCACGGACAACTGGAGCCAGACGAGCGGGGTAAAGGGCTTTTGCAGCAGTCACCTTGCTGTTGCAGGATCGTAAACAAAACTTCTTTCCAGGGCTTTGCAGTCAGTGACCTTTCCTTTGAGATAAAACGACTGCAGAGAAGACCTGCATAAACTTACATTTTTACTGCTGTTTCAACTTGTCCACAGCTTTCGGCTCCGACGCTGTGGTGCCTTTCTCTGAGTTGTGCGTGTTGTCATGTTGACACTTTCTAATTAGCACTGAACCCAGATGGTAATTAGTGTTAATGAGGATTATTATTGCAACTTTTTGGAGATAAATCAATCTGTACTCTCATCCAGCAGTGGGTTGGTTTTACCTTGGTTTATTTATGGTGCCTTTCCAGATGTGGAAGCTGCTTGTGCAGCCAGGGCTATTCAAGTGATGGCACTGGGGACCAGGTTTAACCTGGGGGTGAGCTCAGTCTGGTCCACTGTTTATTTGAAATATATTAAATCGTTAAAAAATCTGTGAGAGAAACTTTTAAAAAAAAATCTGAAATGACAAATGTTTTTCTTAGAGGGGCGATTCTGTTATACAGTAGTCCCTCGCTACTTCGCGGTTTGCTTATCGCAGATTCGCTCTATCGCAGTTTTTCAAAATAAGATTGGGCATGACACACAATTGGCTGATTGATGGATGAGCCACACAATCGGCATGGAATTTAAAAAACATATATAAATTTTAAATTATTTAGCAACTGCTGCACATTTGTGCAGCCCAGAGCTGCAGAAAAAGCTTCCTCCTGCGCCTCTGTGCAGCCCTTACTGCAGGATAAACTTCCTCCTGCAGCTGAACAGCTGATCTGTGTGCAGAGCAGAGAATTGGGCGTGGCCGAGAGCGCTTGCAGGTGGCTGAGAGCAGCGAAGGCACAGAGAGGGAAATCATGACATACATACTACTTACTACTTGTACTACTATTCATACTTTGTGTTTTTTTCACTTATCGGTACGGATCCCCATGATAAACGATGAATTACTGTACAATAGTCCTTTGATTATCGCGGTGGTTATGTTCCACACATCCCCGTGATCGGTAAAAAAACACGAAGTAGGAACGCTATATTTATTTTAGTATTTATATATACTTTAAGGCATTATAAACCCCACACTGTTGCAATCTTCAAAACTCTTCAACCTATGTCATTTTAACACATACATATATGTACTGTACTGTAGTAATTTAGTTGAATAGTTCTGGCACAAATGCACCTCCATATCATCAAAGAGGCAGGCCTTTGAACTGTGCACTGATAATTGACCTGATGGTCCCTCTCCTGTTTAGTATGAAGGATATGGCACCTCTGGTTTCCAAAGAGAATTTAATTCACCTGACCACAGAACAATGTTCCACTTTGCCTCAGTCCATTTGAAATAAGCTTTAGTCCAGAGAAGACTGCAGCGTTTTTACATGAATGCTTATCCAGCATTAGTAGATGTCTGTGAAATGTGCAGGCAGTGATTTGTGGAAGTGTTCCTGAGCCCATGCAGTGATGTCCAGAACAGAATCGGACCTGTTTTAATACACTGTCAAAGGTTCGAAGACTTTCAACCGTCCTTTGAGAACAATGATTTCTTCTGAGTCTTAAAATCTTTAGAAAACATTTTGAACTGCTGATGACATTCTTCTGAAATTGTTGCACTTTTAAAAGACAGTTTTTCCATCTAATAAACCTCTGCCCGTCTTTACTTCAAAGAGATTTAGCCTCACTAAAATGCTCTTTTTCATGCTGTCTTCTTACTGACCAGTTACCAGTTAACCAAACTGGTTGTAAAATGCTCCTCCAAAGCTCTTATTTGTATGAATTTTACAATATTTTGTTGCCCCTGTCTCAACTTTTGTAAGATGTGTGGCTGTCATAAAATTCAAAATAACCTAATTTTGTCCCAAAAATTTCAGTGTTAGTTTAAACATTTGATACCTTTACGATGTTCCATTGCAACTAAAACATGGGTTTATGAGATTTCCAAATCATTGTCCAGATTTTATCGATTTTGTTTTTGTTTTGGGGGTTGTAGTTTAATATTAAATATTATTTTTACTTTATAAAAAGACAGTCTTTAAAGTCTTAAAGTGTTTGCGTTACAGAACTTCCTCCCCTTGAGATGGACTCCTGGCAGTTGTCTCCTCTTGTTAAACAGCCCTGACTTCTTAATAAAGTTCCCAGAAACTCTCCTGGATGAATTTCACTATCCTGATTTAAGATGTTCTGTTTGGACAGCAAGCGTTTTTATATTTTTTCCCCTTGTTTTAAATAAAAGACACATGTTGTCCCTTTTCAGGGTGGCTGTGGTGGTCCTGTACAGCTACAAAGATGACTACTACAAGATCCTTTTGTGAGAAGCAAAGAGGCTCCTTTGGCCAAGAAAGGATTTCATTTTGCCAGAGGTTCAGACGTCTCTCGAAGACTGTTTTTATCCATGAACCTCCAGAATCTGCGTGAAGATTGGACGGATTTGTACCTCGTTTCATTTGGAAAATGTGACCCCCAAAGACACAAGTGACTTTGTTTTAATACAGTAAAAGACAATTCAGCTATCGGAGCCAAACCCTGCCTATTTCTCAAGACCTTTTGGTGTTTTCTTCTTCAGACAAAAGGTTTGCTGGACTTTACTGCCTTAATAGAACTGTGCGTTTGAATAAAGGAAGGGCTATCTACTGATGATTATGATAAGAGAGAAGGAATAAATCACTTTTTTCCTTACTTGCTTTGTGTATTTGCGTAGGTACAAAGGAACGATGTAGTGTAAATGGGTCATTTCATCCTCTGAATGTTCACAATAAACAATCTTGATATCAAGCTTTACCCCACGAGCTGTTGTGATACTTAACGTTTCATCAAACTTTGAGAATTTTAAACGCGTCTGTGTAAATAAAGTCTTTTTAAAAAGCAGCTACTGATGGTTTATTTTTTTCTCAGTTTAAAAATATAACTTTTAATACAAGTAAACAAGTACCTGGTGTTTTACTTCTTGGAAGAAGTGATCCAAGATTACATATTAGTAATGTGTAATCAAAGAATTTGGATTTTGCAATTATTTGTAGATGGAAAAAAGAGCTTAAGCGTCTTGTCCGTGTAAAAAACAAAAAATGCACTTATGAGATTTTTGACCATTTTCTCATCAAATTTTATGTTTTGAAAAAAAAGTTACATGACTATTTCTGTAAAATTAAGACTGTGGAAAAAAATGAAGGCAATTAAAGACCCAAGTGTATCCATACTGTGAACAGTGATGGTAGTTTCATAGTCTGGGCTTGGGCCCAGCAAATTGAGAGTTAAGAATAGAATAAGGGAAGTGAAAAGAAGTTTTGAGATTGTCATTGTATGTTCCCATACTATGGCAAAATTAGTTCTCTGCATTTAACCCATGACACCTGAGATGCACCCAGGTGGAGCTGTGGGCAGCTATGTACAGGTGCTGGCCCTAAAGTTACAATATAATGAAAAAGTTGATTTGTTTCAGTAATTCCATTCAAAAAAGTGAAACTTTTATATTATATTCATTCATTACACACAAACTGATATATTTCCAATGTTCATTTCTTTTAATGTTGATGATTATAACTGACAACTAATGAAAACCCCCAATTCAGTATCTCAGAAAATTAGAATACTGTGAAAAGATTCAATACTGAAAACACCCGGTGCCACACTCAGCAGCTAATTAACTCAAAACACCTGCAAAGGCCTTTAAATGGTCTCTCAGTCTAGTTTTGTAGGCTACACATTCATGGGGAAGACCGCTAACTTGATAGTTGTCCAAAAGACGACCATTGACACCTTGCACATGGAGGGCAAGATACAAAAGGTCATTGCTAAAGAGGCTGGCTGTTCACAGAGCTCTGTGTCCAAACACATTAATAGAGAGGTGAAGAGAAGGAAACGATGTGGTAGAAAAAAGTGTACAAGCAATATGGATAACCGCATCATCCAGGCTTCCTGGTCTAGTCTGTACATGTTTGTCTTCTTCCAGTGTTTTATTAGCTCAGTAAATAGATTAGAGGTCTTCCTACTATTTGTTTGTACCTAAACCCCTGACTCCACTCCCCCGCCTCTGTTAAACCCATCTGCTTCTGCTACTGAGATAAGAAAGCAACTGGAAAACAATCGGATGAAAAGGAACTCAAAGAAGACAAATTCCCATTGGGAACAAACAAGTCCAGATCCAGATGTGCATGAGGCACGTTGGCAAAGCAAAAACCACAAACTGATACCATCTCAGATGACATCATTGCTCCATGAGGAATTAACATTTATCTGCACAAGCCACTTTGGTTCACACATTTATTTTTTTAAAATAAGTAAAAATGTTACAGTTTATAATCTAGAAACATATTTACAAGATTTGCAACAACAAAATAAATAAGGCCTAGAATAGAGCGTAGAAATGATAAATGGTCTACAATGTACATCAGCTTTGGCTACTTAAAGTTCACTTTCCAAAGAAAACAAAATAATTTCAAACTATAGTATTAATAAATAAAGCTATGTGAAAAAATAAATAAGCTACTCTTCGTATCTACTTCTTGAAACAAAGTTTTTACACATAGAAAAACAAAAAAATAAAAATAATTGCGCAAAGCTTTTACAGTCGCCTCTTCACTTTAAAGCACGTGATTCAAACGGATACACATGTACTGCAAACACTTCAGCATAAATTGGTGTCTGACCAATTTTGGCATCAAAGTTGTCTCTGATTTGGGATATTGGCAATGGACACAGAAGCTCGATCCAAAAACAAGCCTTTGGGTTTGTTTCGCAACGCTTCCTGGAATCTGTCCTTCCTTGTACTGACCAGAGTGATGCAGAGCTTCTAGCTGCAGCAGCATCTCTGTGGATTTAATATACCTGTTTAATCCCAGATTAGGGACTTTATCCCTTCAGGAATCCTGCAGAGACCACATTTTATTCACTGGCTTTAAAGAAAAGGTCTGCTTCTAACACATTGGGGAAACAGTTATTACCAAAATAAAATATAAAAACTAATTAAGGCTGTAGAATGATGACTTTACAAATAAATATTCCAAACCATCACTGGTGTGTGCGAGCAGCTCAGAAACAAACAGCTGGGAAAGAAGTGAGGCATCCAAAACATTCCTCACGATCCCGATGAAGCACACGGCACCATTTTTGCCTCTGTTGCGGTTCATGAAATGATACGAGTCGATTCATTCTGAAATAGAAACTATATTTAGAACTTTCTGTAGACAAAGCTAGTTTTGTGAGGCGTCCTTTTCATTTGGGAATAAGGGGAATGTCTAGACTGCAATTTAAAACACCTATAATAAAAACCAGAGTGGGAAAAGAAAACGCAACTAATACAAATACTTGAAAAAAATATATACAAGAACCAAGATAGAGACCACACATTCTAAAGCAGGGGTTTGAATCTGGGGGTCTGCAGTGCTATTCGACTGTTCTTTGGTCACATTAATGATGCGCCGTTGCATTTCCTGGGGGTTAGCCTTCCCAAGATTCCATTTAAACCACATTCCAAAAACCCCTGTCCTAAAGCTTTTTAATCTACCCCCGTTAGTTCCAGTTTCAAAGGAGGCAATAAGAAGCAGTGACATTACAGTGTTCATAGTCAAAGACGACTCTTTTTGCTTGCTCCTTTTTCTTTTTGTAAAGCACAGTCCAGAGTTCCCGTGTCCTTAACATGTCCACTTAGCGTGTCACTCCACCCGAACGTCCAAACACAGAAATGGCCACGTAATGAAAGAAACAGTGTTTTGTGTCGCGCTGAGCATCTTTGATTTGACTATAACACAAAAGGAAGGTTGGGACGAACCAACCAGCAGCTCTGATCTGCAAGTTTTGTTTGTTTTTGCTGTTTTGTGTTTTTAGCGGGTCGTCCAGTCGTTGTTCAGGCTCAGCTTGGCCCTGGGGATGGTCATCTTGTCAGGGGAGCCGATGTCCGGTGCGAAGTGGATGATGCCGCAGTCGTTCTTCACGTTCTGAAACTTGTTCTCCTTGGAGGGTTCCATGTAGATGACGGAGTTCTTGTTTATGTGCTTTTTCAGGATCACCGTCTGTGGAGAGGGAAAAAGAACACGTTGATGCCGTGATTTGGGTCATAGCTGGACTGTGCTGACAAATTTATGCTAGCCTGCTTTCACCGGTTCTAAAACTGGAGTTAAGTTCAGTTTTTGGCACCGTTGATTCATTTAAAGGTCTAGATTTTACGAGTGGCATGACCTTTTTTTTTTTCCCCTTCTGAAAGCACAGGGCAAAGGGAAACCACATTTATCCTAAAGTCATGACAGCTGGGGTGAAGCAGCTGGAAGGTCAAGGAAAAGACCCAAGTCTATAATTAAACCCACTTTTAAACTAGTGCTTTACGACTATATACCTTTTAATTTTCAGATGATCTCTCACCTTCTTTGGTGCACTGTAGCAGGACATCTGCACCCACTTCTTCTTCTTGTTGATGAGTAACGCCACAATGAGGAAGATAATGATGGCCAAGAGGAGGCCTGCCAGGATCCAGGCTGCTGACTGGTAAACAAGGGCCATTTCTGTTTGGCTGGGGAAATTCTCACCCAAACCTGGCTTATCTTTAAAACAAACAGAAACACTTGTTTAGTTTAAGGGTCTAGCATTCCTTCAAAGAAAACATATCGCCCACCACCTCTCATTTTAAACTAAAATCATCTTGTACTGAGTAGGGATGGAGTTATAGCCAATTTCTAACCTTGTAAATTACGTTCTGCGTAATCTCATGCAACACTGTGAGATCTTGTGAGATGTGGTAGTGCTCAGAGAATGTGCTGAGGATGACTCTCACTTACAACCAGGCCAAATTTTACTTTAAGAGTAAGAGTTACGGTCATTTATGTTGGCTAATGTCAATTAGCTGTGGTAGCCATCAGTTGTAGATGTACACTCAATAAGTTTCTGAGAGTTTGACCAAAATTGTTAAAATGACTGCCTTGTGCAGTAAGCAAAAAAATAAAACTCCATCCGACAAAAAGCCCTTTGTTTATGACAATGTTTGCCTCGTTTTACAAAATCTGAACTAAAAACAGCTTATTTTAACAATGTACCTTTTGGCAGATCTAGTTGTTCAAAATGAAAAAAAAAAACTGTTTTAGTTTCTTCAGGACACGTCCTTTCATCACTATTGTTTAAATATACATTTCACTCAATTATCTAACCATTCCCAATAGCCGTCATTAGCATAAACACGGGGATTGGATGGAAGAGTTTGGTATATACGCCAAATGACAAACAGAATGTGATCAGCTGAAGCTTTCAGCAGAAGATACCTGTATCAGCAATGACAAGTGTGACAGTGACTGTGGTGATCCGAGGTGCGTCCCCCCCTGTAGTGCTGACCACCGTCTTAGGAGAGCGGGTGGACACGATCACTGGCACCGACGTCGTCACATCTGTTCACATAGGAGAAAAATGCCAATGGTGTTATGCAGAACTCGCCAGGAATAAACACTTCTAGTTGGTGTTTACACTCCCTGCTGTCTCGGCCGATAAGCTGTGTTTATAGGATCTGTCCTCCTAACTTCCACCAAACCGCTCTGCAAAGGCATTACGTAAAAAAAACAATAAAAAAAAAGTTCTGTTTTCCAGCAGAACATAAACAAAACAAAAAAGTCAGGTAAAGCAGCCACATGGGGAACAATAGAGGGCTATGCTGGGGTTTTCCTCTATAGGAAAAGCTGACGGGGAGCTTTGCCTTCCTGTGCTGCTGCAGGCGAAAACGTTGCAGGCAAACCCAGCCGGCGACAGGAAACACGTGTGAATGTGCGGATGCCCGGGGAATGTTTGCAGCTTCGACAGGGCTGTGTGAATGTGTCACATGGAATGTTTTGGGAGCGATTGTGTTTGGCACCAGATTGGTCGAGTCCAATAAACACTGTGGGACAACCTATACTGACTTATGTTCCTGTTTTTAGACGTAGCATTTTGAGTCCAAACTTTTGCATCAGCGTTGATACGTGCATAAAATATTTTAAGACTGAACTATAAGTAGAAGTGTTAAAGTTTGCGTAATTACTGTGTAGCTTTCTTTTTTTGGACCGAAGAACTCACCGAGACAGTGTGGGCAGCACTGGCCTTTGCGTAAAACCGGTACCCTGCAGTTGACAGCCGGGCAGCGCTGCGAGAAACACTGAATGGTGCCGTTGTTGCAGGCACAGCTGGTGCAGGCGTTGGCCTTCCAGGAGTCCCCTGCTAGCAGCACGTCCCCCTCGATGGTTATGCAGTACTGCTGCTGGCTGCTGTTTACCGGCAGCAAAGGGCTCAGCGTCTCCTCTGCAGGTGAACACAGCACAGGTGGACAAAGGGTTACAAGTGAAACACCAACGAATCGAATCTGGAAATGTCCAGCATGCTTCGTTTAAGCTGCTTTAAATTGTAGCTGCAAATGTGTTTGGGTTTCTGTCTGTTAGCAAAATATCCCATGAATGAACCTCAATGAAACTTGCAGAAAGTAATCATAGGATGCACATCTACAACTGGTCAACCCGATTTAAGATGGCTGCCACAGCTAACGCCCCTTAAAAAGCAGAAAATTGGCCATAACTCAAGTATTTTTACAGATAATGACCTAAAATTTGGAGTGATAGTAGCTGAGAGTGTTCCCCAAAGCAAATGTTGAGGGCTAACAAATTGCGTAACGGCTTCATTTAAAATTTTGCCATTAACTATTTGCAGCCAACTCTGTCTATCTGTTAGCAAAATACTTCATGAACCACTTGACCTTTTTTTCCAAGGACCTTTCAATAAATAATTACAGACTGTAAATCTATAACTGATTAACTTTTGGATCAAACCCAATTCATGATGGCCACCACAGTCAAATGAACTTGAAAACACAAAAATATCTATAATTTAGTCAATTTTCTAGAAAATGTACTAAAATGTGTATTATTATTTTTTTATTTTTTTTTTTGCTGAGTCATTCCCAACACATATTTCATGCACTAATCATTGGGCAAAATTTGTGCCTAAAACTTTAACATTGATGTTAGTCAACTTGTTTTGTCTGTTAGCACAATATGTTACGAACCACTGGGCAGATTTTAATGACAGTCTCAGTAAGTATTCATTGGGTGTACATCTAAAACTGATCAAGTTCTGGAGTAGGTGTAATTGAAGATGGTCTCCACAGCTATTCAACATTAACAAACGATAAAATGGCTCGTAACTGTGGGTCATCCTAACACACACGCTGATTATGACATCTCTCTTTTAACTGACTCCTACATTTCACCTTGATAAACACCATATCAGTCCACCAAGGTTGTTGGGCTTTAGGAGCTGCCTTCATGATAAGATACCTCACGGTATGTTAAACACAAAAACAAGTGACTAAACGTCAGTTCGGCCTCAGACCTTATCGCTGCCTTTTTCCATCACGCCCCTGGCCTGAGCTCTGGCCTTTCCATGACCGGTGACACATTGGCTTTCTCTACTGTACACATTCATCACAGGCCTGTCAGTCAGATGTGTATTATTCCCACATTCCTGGTGACCGGACCCATACATAAATCAAAGTCTGGCCTCTGACAGTCAGCTTTTGTGGGGGGGGGGAGATGTAGCGATAAGGTGGGCAGACATTTTCAAGGAGCAGCTCTCAGGCGCGGTCAAGCATTGCTGATTTGTTGGCCTCATGCTTGAGGAAACGATGTTTACAAGTTTATAAACGTGTACGAGATGCGTAAGTGTTTGGGTTCGGTTGTAAATAACTTGTGCATGAGTTTTGCCTGTACAGTACGTTTGTGTCAACATTTGTGTATTCCCGCAACCAGAGGAGATTTTAAAAGATTACATTCTTGTCCTTCCAGCAATCAGAGACTGAGATGAGCCTCTGTTGTGGGCTGTTGGGTGAAAGCAGGGCCACATGTGCTGCCTTACCAAAGGATTTCTGTGTAAACCCAACCGGTCTTGGCTGGTTTGTTTATGAGCCTGTGTACTGACAAAACTGACCACCAGAGCAACATGCAAGAACTCCCAAAACCACACGCAGATAGCACATCAACAACCAACAGCTAGTTATTTTCAACGTGTGCTAAAGTCGTTGACCCCCACTTTTTATTTTGTGAAACTACTCCTCCCATCCTCTTTTTTTATTACCTGGGCACACATGGCAACAGGTGTCCTTGTTTCTGGTGGGCGTCTGACAGAGAGCCGGGGGACACACTTCAGTGTCGCACAGGACGCGACCCTTCCTGCAGGTGCAGCGTGTGCACTCGTCCAGGTTCCAGGTCTCCCCCTCCACATAAAATTCCCCACCAGGTGCTCTGCAAACCACCTCTGGTTGCCCGCTGCCAGACTCATCTATAGGAAAAACAATATATACAGTATAAGCAAAGGAAACAAGCCAGTTTGCAAAATGTTGCAGTGTTGAATGAGACTTCAACATTTTCTCAGATAAAATTATCATAATTGTAAATACAAATATAACAGGCAGGGTGCTCGAACTGTAATCCATGTGCTTTTTAAGAATAACTGCAACATGATGAAGTGAAATGTGCTTTTTTTTTAAGTGAACAAAGTGACAGACAGCTTTGAAAGGAAGCCCCAGGCGGTGCAGTTGAAAACATCTTTCCTGTCCAGCAGAGTAGCAGACATCTGCAAAGAGTTACACTGTTGTCCCCAGGCTGAGCGCTTCGCTCCTGAATTTTTGGAGACGTTCCTTCCCTCCTAAATATTTGAACGTTCAAATGAGTCACTCCTCCATAAATATCGCTTGTGATATGGAGAGTTGGGAATGAAAAACGTGTGGGTGTTGTTAGGTGTGCCTTCCAATTCTAGAGGAGCACATGGGGGTTGTGAGGTTGTCTGAGGAGACAGGAAGTCAAAACTCAATAATGATATGAGACTGTTGGCTGAGGGAGCTGTGCGAGGTTTTTTCATGCCATACGTGTACATGTATGAGTATGGAGGACGGAATGTGACAAAACGAAATAAATAGATACATAATACAAACATACTTAAATCTATCATTTAATTATTAAATACGTCATTAAATCATTAAATATACAATTAAATTATTAAATACACCATTAAATAATGAAATGTACCTTTTAAATTATGTCATGATTTATTTATTTAATTTTATCACCTTCCATCCTCCAGTAACACCATGAAATGATGTTAACTGTTAGTCTCACTCGTCAAACTTGGTGGGCGGGACTAGGGTGTCGTGAACAGACCCTGACGTCTGATTGGCTGCTTCTCACAGCAAGCAAAGATAAATCGACCACAGATAATGGATTGTTCCACAGGCAAGGAAATATATTCCGAAACTTAAGGAAGCAGTAATTATGTTTACGTGTATTTGGATGAAACGTTTTTTTTCATACCGTGAATGTAAAGAAGAAGGCGCGCTTTGACTTAAAATATCTAACCAGTTCACGAGAGCAAATTAAGGTCCTGCATGGAGGGAGCTGCCATGTATGAACTAACTTCAGACCGAAGCAATGGATTTCACATGATAAGTGTTAGTCCCGCCCACTGAGTTTGACGAGTGAGACTGACAGTTAACGTGATTTCAAGGTGACACACGAGGGTGGAATGTGACAAGATTAAAGAAATAAATAAATCATAAAATAAATAATTTAATTGTGTATTTAATTGTGTATTTATTAATTTAATTGTGTACTGTATTTAATTATTTAATTACGTATTTAATATTGAAATTATACATTTCATTATTATGTTACATTATTTATTTCATTTTGTCACATTCCGTCCTCCATATGTGAGTGCGTAGTAGAGTCACTTTAAAATGACGTTTGGCAAAAGGGGACAAAAAGTTTTGCTCTTGTCTGTGTATATAGGTGTGCAGAAGTGCAGAACCACTAGACTGAGGAACAGCTTCTACCCTGAAGCTGTTAGACTCATAAACCCCTAATCTGGATTATCAGTGGGAAAATCACCGAAATTCCACTTTGATTGTTGATATGTGCTGCTGATTATCATGCTGCTGATCTCATGCTGCTGATTGTTTCATGCTGCTGTGTTCATTCATACACATCTACTCACACAGACTCATGTTTGTGCTGCTGTTGGTCGGCGTATTGTTTTGCACTATTAGTGTTTAGCGTATTACTTAGTTTATATCTTAGATCCTTATTTACTGTTTCTTTTTACAATTTATATTTTTACTATTGTTGGATGTAACTGGGACCCCGTGCGCACAATTTCGTTCCACCTCATTTACCACATGTGATGTGAATGACAATAAAACGTTCTTGACTGCTAGCAAAATAGCTCAAGAACAGCGGGACAGATTTTTAACCTTGATTATTAAAAAAACAACTCCAAATTATGTGCAACCATTCTATTGTTAAAACAGCAAATTATTACCGGTAAATATTTGTCCATATGCTTAGAGCTATAACAACCAGTGACTGAAATGTAAAAACATACCATCACAGGTGGGACAGCACTGATCAGGCTTGACGACAGGATGAGGGCAGCTGGGTATGGGGCAGGATATGAGCACGCACATCTCCCGTCCAGAGTGGCAGAAGCAGTCCCGACAGCCATCGTGCCAGCTGTCACCCTCCTCGTAACGGTGCCCGTTGGAGGTGTGGCAGTAGCTGGGTGTTGGGGCTGGAACGGTGGTGGCTGGGACACGGCTGCTTTCTAGAAAGACAAACGAGAGAGGATGAAACATGAAAGATGCAGATAATGCAACGGTCGATGTTTTGTGGAAAGGGCAACGAACCTCTCACGCCTTAAAACAATGTTCAAGTCATCCTCCTGTTTCTAGAAACGGCTAAAGTAAATCCATTTAATGACTGCTTGAAACTAATTTTGCAGAACTGTGAATACTAGTTATGAGTAACCATTTATAAATCAAATTCTGACGTAAATGAGGAATGTGTATTTTCATGAATAAGTTGCATTTAGTGTTGAAGAAGAACATTAAAGAATCACTCGAACTCCTTATCTGCATGAAGCGAGTACAACCAGCTCCTAACCCAACTGCCACTTAAATACTTCTGGGTCATTTCACCCCATTAGGAACCTTCCAAAGCATAAAAGACTATTCAGCTGCACCCAGAGACCTTATTAGGAGCAAAAAGAGCCAAGTTGTCATAGCACAGCTTTTAAAGTTTGAAAGGACGTCGAGTGAAGTTGAACCCGGTGAACTGCACAGCTCAGGCAGATGACATGTTGATTTTCTTATGTTTTTTTTTTTTTTTACTCAAAAGCAAACACTTAAAATAAACCAAAAACATATAAAAATATTCCTGTTTTTTTTTTTACATTTTGCTAGTTTACACAGAGGCTTATTCAGGAGCTTTAAAAGCAGGTAAACATTGCTTTGTTTGCAGAAGGTGATGGTCAGTGTGAGAACCAGGTAAACTGCTTCAGTTTAAAGACATAAATTGTGTGAGTAAATGTAAAGTACAGCCAAACTGGTTAAATAAATGCTCTAAATAGAATGTTCTGAAGTATGCATAAGGTACATAAGTTGAGGGAATGTATTTAGATTTGCACATACTGTACATCCCTTGGATAAAAAAGAAACACTAACAGGAACTGAAACATGCAAACTTTCAATCTCACAGGGAAGCAGGGAAATGCATTCAAAACATCTAAATGTTAAACTGGTGATTTAAAAGTTAACGTTTGCAGATGCTGCTCTATAAGCCATAAGTATACATACAGTACCACGGCAATCCTTTCACATTTATAGTGTGACGTAAGTTGTTTCCTGTGAAGTCCTTAGATATCATACTTAGAAGGTAGTATCCTGATGCATGCTAAATAATACAAGAAGAAAAATCTAAAAGTAATAAAGTCAGGTCCTCTGGACGGATTCTTCTTGTTGGAAAGTTTCGTCTTTTATCCAAAAGACTTCGTCAGTCTGAGGAGTTGCAATAAATTCAGTCTTATAAGCAGCACCTTTTCATAGTGGATCCATCAGTTTACAGGTGACCGTCAAAAATAGCTGTTTACTTGATAAAGGAGGACCATTAACCTAACGACCGATCGTTAGTGCCCTGATGGCTGCTTGCTATTCACAGAGGGCTGAGTGGTACTAGCAATAACCTCCCTACCCCAAACCACCCTCCATGTCACCCTCTTACTAGTATCACTCTTGCTAGTTTTTTGTGGCTCCTCTGATTGATGAAGTCCTTTGGATTAGAGCTGTCATTTCTTACCCGAACCCGGAGCACGGTCCAGCCCTACCCGGATTAGGGCCGGGCCAAAATAATGTGCTTAATGTGCTGGCCGGGCCAGTGTAAGGCTTTTTATTGCATCAGCGGATGCGCATGGCTGACGATCCGATTATATGGTAACATGGCTTGCCATACATTCACCTGCTGCACGCAGCCATTTGACCGCACGCTGATCGGCCTCGAAAGAGGTAAACTAAAGTTCAGTTCAAGTAAAGAAAGACATTCAAACAAATGAGACATCTTTGTTCTTTCCTTTAGAAGGTGGTGGTGCCATTTAAAAAAGATTCAGCTGCACTCAGCGGACGCGTGCGGCCAGCCGACGACCCAAACAGGTGAGATCCCAAAATATCTGACGTCAGAGCAGAGTCCGTGTCTGAATAATGCAGAATGCAGGCAGAAGCAGGGATTTAATGCGCTTTGACGGCCATGAAAGGACAAACACCCCCTCAACTCCGATTTTCTGCCCCCTTTTATTCAGCCGCGGGTGCGTCCGCCGACCGTTAAGAACTATAAGCAGTGAAAGCTTAATTAAAAATATCTGATTTTTTTTTCGGGTTCGGATCTGTAATTACTGTTAATTTGTAGAGTCGGGTGGGGTTCGAAAATGATGGCTACGGGCTGGGGCCGAGTCGGGTCGGATTTTTGGGGACCAAATGCAACTCTACTTTGGATGAAGAACGAAATGTCTCAGCAAACTAAGAACCATCCAGATGACCTGACTGAACATTGTGGGACTTGTACCTGGATTATTGCGCATGAACTTTGATGACACTGTTGCTAGTATCACTTTGCCCTCTGTGAATAGCAAGCAGCTATCAAGGCATTAACGATCCGTCGGCTGGTGCTCCTCCTTTATCATGTGAACAGCTAGTTTTGGACGTCACCAGCAAACTGGTTGATCTATAAGAAGGTGCTATTTATAAGACTGAGTTTACTACAGCTCCTCAGACTAAAGTCTTTTGGATAAAAGACAAAACGTTTCAACAAGAAGAAGAATGTCCAGAGGACCTGACTTTATTTTTTATTTTAGATTAGAAGGTAATATTATGACAACTGTTGAGATGTTTCAAACATTTAGAGGCAACATCCATCCATCCATTATCTTTACCCGTTTATTCCATTTTGGGTCACGGGGGTCGCTGGTGCCCATGTCCAGCAATCACTGTGCGAGGGGCGGGGTACACCCTGGACGGGTCGCAAGTCCATCACAGGGACACATAGAGACAAACGAGACAAACAACCATTCAATCTCTCATTCACACCTAGGGACAATTTAGAGTTACCAATCAGCCTAACATGCATGTTTTTGGTCTGTGGGAGGAAACCGGAGTACCCGGAGAAAACCCACGCATGCACGGAGAGAACATGCAAACTCCACCCAGAAAGGCCCCTGGACCGGGGTTTGAACCAAGGACCTTCTCGCTGAGAGGCAGCAGCTCTACCAGTTGCGCCATCGTGCTGCCTAGAGGCAACATATTTAGTGGAATTGAGGTTTTTCACTTCAATCTAGACGCAGAGAAAACAATTTAATGCACCAAATGAAAGGATTAAAAGCAACAATTAGAATAAGGTGGCTTTATTAAATTAACAACTTAATTGAGAATTCACCATGTCATCTATTACAGTTGTTTGGAGTTTTTGTAGAATGAATTTCTCATTTCGTGGTGGCTCAGTGAGACTAACCTGTAGAAATAAAGGTTGAATTTGGAGGCCACTCACCATTTTGTTCAACTAACGTGAGTTACTGTGCCGATAAATGAACTGGCCGAAAAGATCTGAAGCTCTCGACCTTGACCTCTCTAAGGGATTTTAAACAACTGGAAAAAACCAACGCAGCCATGTTCCTGTTTTTAGCATTTTACACCACTTTATAATGTAGCTGTTTTTGTTTCGTTTGTAATTAATTTCTTCTATTTACTTTTTCATTTTATGCTTTTTATATGATTGTCTATTGTTGTTTGTACTTCATCTGTGTTCTTTGTTTAAAGCAGGTCTCTCTTGTAACTGAGTCCTGGTGACTCAATGAGACTAACCTGTATAAATAAAGGTTGAATGAATGAAAACTGCGGCATGAGTCCAACCTCTTACCGTCACACATGCAGAGGGAGCAGCCCTTCCGGTTCTGTCGATAGCCATTGCTGCAGTGCTTGTCGCAGGTGAAGGGAGGACATTTGACGCAGCGACACATTTCACAGCCGTGCTTGTTCCTCCTGCGCCGTGACAAACAAAGACACGATGAAGCGCGCATGAACAAAAGTCTATTACTCCAACGATGTGTCAAAGAGTAAACAACACCAGAGTTGTTTTAAACTGACTGTTTCGTCTAAATCTGTTGAACAGCTTGTTATTGTGACACTCTGAAAGCCCACATGCTAAAGTCTAAAATAATCAACATCTGGATTTGCTTAACCCTCTTTATACTAGCTGCCTTTGAAGACGGGCGAATAAAAGGCCAACATGTGAGCGGCCTGTGGTTTGCACATCATACCAATCTTAAAGACTCTGGCAGTGGCAATTTAAAGCCAATTCAGATGCTTTCAATGCACCCTGTTGCCATCTTTATTGCTCCAAAAGCCTCTGGTGGGTTAATAAAAGAGCAGCGGACTTATAAGGGTTAATGTGGATAGAAAGAGCTGGTTGAGGTTACAGCAAAATAATAAAAAAGATAAAGGCTTCTGTTGGTCAAAAAGAAAAGGAGCAAGTAGGAAGGGCAGAAGCTAAGGAAGCTGGAGGCAGACCAGTTGGATCCAATTATCTTCCCTATTAAACATGGATGAGCTGCAGGTTGATACATTGACAAAGCACAGATTAAAGAATGACCCGTGTCTACTTCCTCTACATCCCTCCCTGTCTCATTCATTCTCACTCAGCCTTCCTTTTTCTGCAGGTAAGTGATGATTCCTTTTCTTCACTGAGGCCTCATTAAGCATGGATAATGGCACTATAAATCTTTACCTGCCAAAATTAATCAGACACTCGAATCTATGAAGTCCCACAGCCAACAGAGGACCTGTTCTGCACTGAAACAGCAACAGCAGCTTTAGAAACAACCGTGCAAGAGGTGGGTTAAAACCTCACTGTACAAATACAGAGATGGAGTCCGGCAAACTTAGAGCTCGGCTTTGTTTATAGATGATTTGTGGAATGCCAAGCAGCGCTTTAGGCTCCAGGGGGATAGAAGGGCTTTGGAGACACTAAAGACCCTGACTAAAGACTGCTAGCTTGGCAAAATTTCCACAGTGGTGCATCTGGGATGTCCATATGAATGCCATTCATGACCTGTGTGGTCAAAGTTAAGATTTTGAGCCATAACAGACAAAAATACAACTTTAGCCACAAATACTCTCCTAAAAATGTCTCTTTATATATTTTAAAGTAAAAAGTTTTTTTCATCACATACATGTTCATTGGAGGCTGGTTTACATCCATCCTGTTTTAGATCATTTCAGAACTCAGGATGTTGTCAGTGCGTCCAATAAAAACGCTGAGGTCATTTGAGCTCTTGTTTCGTGTGTGTGGTGGCAACAAGCTGGAGTGTGAGAGGACAGATCTGCACAGCGAGGCAGGAAAGCTCTCGGAGGATTTCAGACTTCTGAGGCAAGACCCAAACAGCTGCTTAGGGAGGATAAACTCTGGACTTCCTGCTCCCCCCTTCTTCTCATCCTCTCCTCTGCAAATATATTAAGTCCATCTTCAACCAAAGCTGCAGGGAGCAAGGCTGAAACTTCAGAGGGATTCAAACTGTACATGTTTCATAAAGGTTGCTTTTGTCCTGATGTGATTTTGATCATTGTTTTGAGACAGGATGAGGATTTATGAAATGAGAGTGGAGCCTGGGGACCAAGCATCCTGGTACAAAGCACTTCCAGATGTTTGATTGGAGTAAATGGGATTAGGAGGAGAGGAGTTGCAGGGGGCTGAGAGGCTAATGTGGACCTCACAGAAACTCAATCACACACATACCTGTACATTAATATTGAATCCTGGTAATGACCACGATAGGTAGACCGTTTGATCATGGTTACTTAATACCTGTTGCAATACTTACTTTCGAGGCAGCACTTGATAATATTCAATATGAGCACTGCACTTCTTGTACTGTCTAACCACGGGAATTTACTGTACACACAAAAGGTGACAATACTTAACATTTCTCTGTATACACAGCTCATTGGGAAGCTGATGATTTTAATTTAAATTGGACACCACATTTTAAAAGCATCCCCATGCTGCCCTTTCAAGGCTCAAAGGTCTTTATTGTCATTTTCATCACATGGGGTACATGAGCTGGAACGAAATTGTACCAAGGTCGACAGTTGCTATCACTCATGAATGATGGTGCTTTTAACAGCTTCCAGTCTGGTTTTAGGGCACTTCATAGTAAAATGATGACTTAGTAAATTGACTTAGGAATTACGGTCCTTTTAAGTACAGAAAGAAGAAAAGGCTTGATTCACATTATTTTAGACTTAAGCGCTGCCTTTGATACCAAACGTGTCATCTTTCTGCATCGTTAAGAGTCCTGGATTAGACATCAGAACACAGCTCTGAATTTACTATGCTCATATCTCTCAAACTTAATTTTTTAAATAATTGTAGATCCTGTGGTGTGCCTCAGGGATCCATCTTTGTCCTCCCATTATTTTACAATTTTAGACATTTCTTGTTGTAAACATCCACCTGACTAAACTTGGCTCTTTCTCCTTTTTACATTACCTTTAAACTTTGCTAAGAAAAGTTTAAATTATAATGTATTATTATTTTCTTTTTTTTTTTCATTTACCCTTTATTTATCCAGGTAGTCTCATTGAGCCACGAGAACTCATTTTCAAAAGAGACCTGTTTAGGGAGCAGATGGGGGTTAAGTGTCTTGCTCATGGGCCCAGGGTGGGGTGAATGAGGGTGGGGGAATGTGTGGGTGCTTCACCTACCCACCCACATTTTTGATGCTGTCGGTACCGGGGCTTGAGCCGGCGATCTTCCGACCACAGGCCCACCTTCTCTAACCTCTGCCCCACCATTCCCCAATTATCCCCATTATCATTATTAAAACAGCACAGCTTAAAAATTACAACCTATGCGGGCTTTTTTTCTGCTTCTAATTTAAAGGCTAACCATCCAGAAGCAAACAAAAACATCCATTTTAAGAGAAAGTAAAACCATGGAGGAGAAATATGAGTTGCTGGATTTGGGTTATGAGAAATCACAAAGGGTCAGTGAGTAAACATACACATATCCATAGGGGCAGGTCTTTGTGCAGGTCAGAGGTCGGCACTTGGATGTGGGGATGCTGCACTCACACACCTCACAGCCAAAATCATCCCTCTCATATCCCTTTGGACATTGCAGAGAACAGTATTTTTCCAAGTCAGGACAGGAGTCATCTGAAAGAGTTGAGAGAGGTCAGCTGATCATGGCCAGAACAATTCATCAAAAAGCAAAGACGTGACAGAGATGGGGCTGATCGCAGGAACACTCCTGTGAGCATGCGTCTTGCAAAGACACACATAGGCTCTGATGAATATCAGCATGTTGGTGCTGCTGTCAAAACCAAATGATTGCTAAATTATTTTTGACACAAGCATAAGCAAACAGGTAAACGCATCAGCCGTCCGAATCTCTGAACATCATTCTGAGGCTTAAAGTTCAGCATAAAATGAGGAAGGAGAACTTACTGGTAAGGCACTGGCAGAGGAGACATCCATTTTTGTCTTGATGGAAGCCATGAGGACAGTCATTCACTGACAGGGTGCAGTTTTCCAGAGGTGGGCACAAAATGGGGCTAACTGTCTCATAAGAAGGTTCTGGAAAACAAGAAAAGCAGAGTGAGGAAGGGATCTTGGAAAATAAATCTTTCAGAAAAATATCTGGTCACAGTTTGGGAGACAGAAAGGGATGTGAAATAAAGATAAAATAATAAAAATGATGTATTCTGGTATGAAAACACACTTAATTTTATATAAATAGGGATGTTTAAAGCCCCTCAGGTGGAATAATCATTCAATGATATTTGTGCCGTCTGTAATAGCTACCTATTGACACGTTTACACTGCTCTAAACAGTAATTACAGATAAATGTGGAGCAATTATACTAGGGTTTGGTACCTCCCTATATTATTGTGCTCTACAGTCTCCCATTGGTAAGCTGAATGTGTCTGGCACATGTAGAAGCTTCAAGACTGCCAGTGAAGACAAACAAGCCCCCCAGGGGCTTAATTCAGATTCTATTATTGCTTCAGACTGTGAGAATCCATATAAATTACAAGAATAGAAGCAACACACACACAAGCACCAGTAGACACAGACATGTACTGTCACGTCTCCTAATAAGCGCTTCTCGCCACGTTCTGTGGGAGGAGCAGCTCAATGAGCTGTAACTAATTACAAAAAACTAACGAAAAAAAAAGCAATTATGCAGCCTTCTGCTTTTAAATCATGCCGTAGCCTCACACACAGGTGGGTCTCATTTTGGCGGGCAAGGGTAATAAAGGAACACAAAGAACCCTACAGCTTGAAGAATGCTCTGCGGCCTCCCCTTTAATGAGCCCATGCAGATATGCTCTTTGTAGCAAAGCTAGAGGGCAACATGTATATGACCCTTCTGCAAGTGATATGAGAGTTAACATGTAGCTTCTATTAGCTTGTTGCTGCATATTAGACTTATAGTGTCACTTGGCCTAAAGCTACCTTCACAGAAGGGACAGCACTCTCCTGGGATCTTCACAGGGTTTTGGCAGCTCTGTTTGCAGGCCATAGCTGTACAGTGAGGATCCCCATCCACACACTGACAGAAGGTGCAGTCATCCTCTTTCCACTGCTCCTCATGAGCTCGCAGCTTATTATTTGCCCAACAACTGGCCTTTGTGCTGTCTGATGACAACAACTCCACATCTGAGAAGGAAAACAAAAGATGTAAACTTTACGAGAGAGAAAGTCAAGATAGGCTTTCTGCTTTGTGACAGCAAGTTCAAAATTTTACTATGTGAACTTGAGTGAGATTTGGTATTTTGACCCCCACATAAAGGCTGACGACATTCTTAAAATCTGGTTCTCACAGGTTCCACTGATGGTTTTAGCAAATGTTCGAACTAAGACATGAGTTTTAGCTCTGACCCCTGCAGGTAAAGACCAGGCCAAAGTATGATCACATACTGTAAATTTCCCTCCAAAGCAAAAAAAGAACGTCCCTTCTTGTTAGATCCAGTCATTATATTCACATAGAAGCCAAAAGTTATGAAACAGTTTAAAAACCACTTTGAGACTGTTCTGCTCAGCTTGAGGTAACAAGATGATGCTTAAGCCCAGTTACTTGTGTTGTTTTTTGGGGTAAAAGGTTAGATCACATTCTCAGCCTTTTCCTTATATCAGTATAAAACAATACATATTTGTCTTCCTTCATATGGAACAGCCCATTAAATGATCATGGAGGGAATAAGGAATGATGTAATATGAGTGTCCTCTGACAATGACTGAAACTTTGGCTGCTTAGGTCCTGATGAAGTTAGTGTCTACTGATCACAAACTACAGACTCTTTACTTGCTAATTGCCACACTATGGTTACCAGCTGCTCTCAGACTGTCTGATGTTTGAAGCAGAATTGGTAGCGCACAAAGCTTTTTGAACCTTCACTTAACAGAGCTCTCAGATCTGATAAAAGTGATCTGACACATAAAATCTGTTTGTTTTAATACTAAAACCATCAGCTCAAATATGCCAAAATCCCACCACTTGAGCTGAGCATAACTTTCACTGGCTTTATTACTTTGTGGGTTATGTTAGAATCTACCTTATTCACACACATAGAAATAACAAACCAGTATCATTTACAGCATATTTTTATGCACATTATTACATAATGTGTTCTTCATTGTGATTCATACAGTAAAAAAAAAAACAGCTTTCCATAAGGAATTAATAAAAACATCTATACCGTGTAAAGAACTGCAGACTCGTCCAACACTATTAGCCCACTCTTTGTCCTCTTCTCACTCTTACTGTATGCATCCTATTACCTGTAGCCATGTTGGCAGAGGCCAAAGCTGGCTCCCACCTCCATCTACAGGCTCCTGTCAGTCTATAATGTGGCTGCCATATGCCCGGCAAACCCTTCTTTTCTTTAACAATGCCAAAAACAATTATCAGAGCTCTCGACCTAGCTTTAAGCACATGTGATCAAGCCAGATCCAGATCTTAAGAAGCCACAATGTTCTTACTGAAAGTGTCCACAGTGGAAATTATGTGCGGGGAGTTTCAGGGTAGGCACATTTTGTCATCATTCAAAAGATATGAACTGAGAACATTGTAACTAAACAATCAAGTAAATGTGTGTACCTATGCAGACAGGGCAGCACTCGCCCTCAGGAACGTAGAAGTTTTCACATTCTAGCTCAGCGCACTCTGCCTTGGAGCAGAAGGAGATTCCTCCACGACACTGGCACAGCCAGCAGGGGTCCATGCGGTACACCTCTCCTTCCGAGAACTCCTTCCCATTGAAGACACACTTGGGAGAGACTACAGAGAAGAGAAAGTTAAACTGAGCTTCATATGGGGAGTGGTTTGTACTGAGTGCATGTTATTCGGTCAGGCGTCCTTCACATTTGTCCTACATTTACTTATCATGACTGTACAAGAAAAATATGCAGTTTCCTTGATCGTTACGGCCTTCATCGGTGAGAGGGAATCCCAACTTTGCACAACCAAAAACAAAGACAATTGTTCAATTTTTAATGTTGATGGAAACATTTATTTAATCCAGTTGGTTTAGAAGTTCTTAAAAACTGGAAAATGGTATTTCTCAGACAATGAGTCCATCGAGAGGATTTTCACATAAATCTATCAGATCTTACAGTGCATAGTAAATTAAAACAGTATGGATCTGAAGAATCTGGGCTCAGTTCTCTGCTGGCAGGTGGAGAGAATCACTTCACTGGCCAGTATTTACCAAGAGCATCCAAGCATTTAAAACCACTTTTAGCAGTGTTTTTTCAGCTTTGAAATTTCTTATTTACATCATGGGTGGACAAAAAGATCTGATTTTGTGTATAGTCAACAAGTGTACAGGAATATGTGCATAAATCTGGGACACTAATGGAAGAAAAACTTCAAAATAGCAACTAAAGGTATAGTTTCCTAAATTTAAATTAATTTAACCAACTATTCACAACTAAATGTGCAGGGTATTTTTTTTTTTTTGTACAGCACTTTGGCCGGTTGCTATGTTGTATTTTAAGTTCCTTAGAAATAAATTGGTATGGTAATTGGTATGGAAATTTTATAAATTAAAAAAAAAAAAACAGAAAAATGACACCTTAATGGTAACACATTATATATTCAATATAACTCAGAGGTTTGGATGCCTCAGCTTTTCAAGATCTTAAGTGGTTTATTTATTTATTTTAAATGCCACGGGACAAAGTGAGACAGTTTGGTTATGTAAGAAAGCCTCAAGACTCAAGAAAAAGTAGCCGCATTAGTAAGGCAAATGAATGCATTACTCAGATGCAAGCAGATGTGTGGGGGCTATGGTTTTTAGAAATAAGAGCAGAGGTCACGGCAGCATCTGTACACCATACTTTAGGTTCAGACTCAAAGTGTCTGAGCCAGTGACCCCACGCCTCTCGACAAGCAGCGGTGAACTCCTAATGCAAAGCAGGTGTGGCAGCAGAGTTGAAAGTGGAGTGAGGATTTTGTTGATCTTTTATTGTCTATCTTGCTGTTTTTTCAGCCTTCTTACCTCTCCTGTTCTTCATTCCTGCTATCTGACTTTGTGTGCATCAAAATCAAGCATGCAAAAGCACTTTAGCTGGGTAAAATCTAAAGGTGAAATTTATAGACTTCCTATTAATGCTCACAGACACATTACGAAGTCAAATGATGAGACGGTCACAACATTTTTGAATGTTTGTAATCTCCATACAACTTGCAGCACAGTAGCTTTTTGATCTTTATTTTTTATTAAAACAAGTACAACTTGTAAATTGATGTTTAATTGTCTGGTGTACAGATTCAAAAAGACAAAAATGATACTCCCATCGAGATTAATATTTGGATTTATCACTGTCTGCTTTCGACAAACAGGTTTAACAGAAGTCACCAACACAACCACGCTATCAGTTTCTGAAGACATGACTGTTTTTGGTTGTATGTTCATAATAACGTCAAGCTGTGGTCCCTGAGACTGATTAGGGTGGTGATCTCAGCCTTATTGCTTAACATCAGTATAAATCTTTCAAACTTGGCACCGCTGCCTGACAACGTGGGACGAATTTCGAATTTGTACCAGCCAAAGTGTTGAGAAACAGCAGCTAAACAGGATCATCTGTAACATCAAATGACATAAGGTCAGGACAGCGCTGCCAGTTCTGAGTTGCCTCAGATACAGTTGTCTTTCAGCCAATAGTGAAGCAGAGGAGACCAAAACACACAAGTGGGACTTTAATGTTCCTGCACATGAAGACCCTGATGAATTGCCAGCCATCAGCTCAATGGGCACTGGAAAGAAACTAATTAGTCCGAGCCACGAATGGAGAGACAGTGCAGGGGTGTGTTAGAATGTTTTCCACTGGATGGTGTTGTTTAGAAATAAAAAAGACTTTATAAGATGCTGCATTTGTTGCTGTTTTGTTGGAAACTTCTACAGGACTAGAAAGTTGACAAAGAGGCCCAGTGTGAGTCTTTGTCCAAGTCCCTTTCTGACATGGCACGCAGTCATGCAGTCCTAACGGACAGTAGGAGCAACACAAAAGGCATCAAGCCCCAAGTCCAAAGAGCAGCAGACACTTGTTATCAAAACACTGATCCCCCGGCCCCCACGGCTGCCATTCAGCCCCCGCTGGCATGCCGGACTCGATTACCCTCTCCACTGGCAGACTGGAGCGCATAAAAAGCATTCCCATCAATGAACTGTTGAACCTTTTGCCCTTCTGGATGTGTGACCAGACAGGAACCCTTTGACACTGCACTTCTGTTGAGCAAATTCATAGCCTAAGCACTTTTCTGGTCACTGGGCTTGTTAAGTCCATTAATTCCAGGACACGGCACTCGTTTATACATCTGGAAGGGCTAGATTGGGAATTTGTTCTGTTGGTAAAACAGGGAATATTTTTTGGGTGTGCAGAGTAAACAGGCTAGTGCCACAGGTCCCCTCCCTCCTAGCCTTCCTGGCTAACTGTGCACTTCGACAGAGGTGCACTGAACTTCTAATGACTGTTCTCTATTATTTTCTATTCTTTTGTCATTTTTTCCACATGATCAGACTTGCCACAGGCTTTTGAAACACGTACTGTACTTAAAATCCATTCAGACCATAAAAATGTGGAATTAACACAATAACAGTGTTGGAACTATGGTCATTAACTCTGGAAGGCGCTGACTCAGCGTGATGAACAGTAATAATACAATCAGCAACTTTCTTTTTTACTGTAGACGATTGTTCAGCAAGGAGAAATGCCTGACTCAAGAGGAACATAATTGCCTCCAGTTCACTGATGCATTTCACACCAACTGTGCAACTGCTGCTTGCAGTGGGAAAGCAATCAAAGAGTGTTGTGTACACTTCAGTGCTATCACCTTTCCGGCACTCAAAGACATCACAGCAGTCTCCTGGCTGACCGCTGGCCTGACTGAGTGGAACGAGGTGCTGTCCGCTCGGGCAGTGGGGCTTCTGGCAGGCACTAAAGTCACAAGTGCACTGGGGTGATATGGAAGGGCAGCAACCAGCAGGGGGTGTGTAACTCTTGGTCAGGACTGACCCCTTGGGGCAGGAGGGAACTGGCAGAGCAGGACATGTCACCCCAGCACACCTCAGCTGTTCTGCAAAGAAAACACACATGGATTTATATTAATACAAAGGTTTGACCTTCTTTTCTTTGCATACTACTGTTCTCCAAAAGGAGGTGAGGTTGTTGAGCTTTCATGTGAGAGTGCCTGCTTTAGAAACATTAAAAAATGCTTCTCATGGCACAAACTGACAGCTAAGAACACACAATCACCCAACAAATCTCTGCACACAACCAAAAAATCCTCTCTAGTTTGTGGCAGCTTTACAACCTTCTGTCAAAGCAGCGAGTGCAGCTTCCTCACCCTCTCTCTCTCAACACGACATGGTTCTCTGCATATCCTGTCGCCGCAGCTCTGATCCCACTCAGTCTGCTTCAACTGGCCCACAATCCAAACAGCCGCATGGTCTCTAAAACCAATCATTAATAGCAGCCAACCTTCAACAGAGCTTTACTTCATGCCAGTTTACAGACGCCCCTTCACTTAGCATACCAGGACGTATTTGTCCATTCATTTGCAGATCCAACATAATGCCCCTGATAGCTCTTGTTGGGGGGTGGGGAAGGGGGGTATTTGGGGTAATCTGGGCAAGGAGCTTAGGGGTGTATTTTGGAGCCTTTTCAGGAAAATAAAAGTGAAGCCCCTTCTTTACAGATATTTCTTGAGAACAGTAGCCTTCTTCCAAAAAAGGGGATTACTCAAACCAAAGGAGGGTGTTTATTTTGGTTCTCAGTGTCGCTGTAATGTACACAGGAAGGCGGAGGTAGGAAGAAGATTGATGCTCTATCCTGTAATCAATCAGTCACTAAGTTCTCCCTCCGATCCCCAGTTGTAAATACTGAGCTTAACACATAATAAGAAAGGGCAGAGAAAGTGGCAAAGCAGTAAAACTAAGGTATGTGCAAAAATGGGACAACTGGTCCCTGCACATGACACATGCATACAGGAGAACCTGAGTCAACAGATGACTGTGTTATATCAGCGTTAAATCAAGTTGATTTTTATTTTTACAAGCAATCCTTGACAATTTTTGAATACATCTGTTTTTTGACGAATGCGAACAGCTAGCCTGAAAATTGTACGGTAGTACTTTGGGTAAAGGGTTTTTTTTTTTCAGTTTTTGGCTGGTGGTCTTTCTGGATCAGTGCTGAAGGCACAGCACAGAAGATGAGCCTTAAACCTGTCATTCAAACACTGGCGAATGGATCTCTTTGAATTTTAAGCAGGTGCAGAGTTTAGATTTCTAACTCCACAAATGGACCTTCCAACCTTACTCCCTTGTTCTGTTTATAAAAGATAAATATTTCATTAAATCTGATCCTCTTCCACCAGCCACTTTAACAGTCATTTGATGTGTGTTTGACCCAATGCAAATATAATTAAATATATGTATGGACAAGGGGCTTTGACTGTGACTGTGGCAGTTTGGCGGGTGGAGCTAATGTAACCGACGGATGAAATTGAGAAGAAGAGAAATGTTAAACTCTTCTGGCTCCAGATAAATACAGCAGGAGTGTGAAGTGTCTGTACTGTACTGTTTACTCAAGCAACCCGGGAACCGTGAGGACCGCCACAAAGCTCTCATTGATAAACTTTGCAACTGAATAGTGTCAAAGTAAGTGAAGGAAAACCCCTAAATTAACGGACGGCTGAAACCCTTTCAAAGATTTTTGGCCTAATTTCTATGCCAGAGTTAAATAAACCTCAGATGGAAGTGCTGATTGGCCAATGTTTTACCTTCAGTGAAGTCTAACACAATTCACTGCTGCTCAGTTAAACTGCGTTTGCATTTGAAAAACCTCAAGCTTCTTTTTTTTCCTAATTTGCAAAAAAACGCACGGGCAATCTCGCACATGGTTCCGCGCTGAAAAACACTTTCTCTGCATTGTGTACGACTCTGAGAAGGCTGATTACTCTTTCAGTTGTGATAATGGCTGGGGTTAGAGAGCACTGGGAAAAGCAGCTGGCAGACATGTCATTGTCATTCAAATGAATTGAATTCTATGCATCTATGGAAATGGTCCAACCCTTGTAGGTCTAATTAATGTAATTTTCTTTTTAACGTGGAACTTTTAGGCAGCAACAGAGGTTGGGAAAAGTCAGCAGCAAATGGGTTTTATGCTGCACCGTTTCTGTCCCATCTCTAAGCACAAATGGCTGTAATTAGTGAGTCAGTGATTGCAGAATGATCCTTTGTATCAGAATGGTACAAACACTCAAGCTTGAGCAAACACAAAAAACATAAATTGGTATGCTTGATAAATTCTCTTTGCAGATCAGGCAATATGTGCTTTTTATTACTATAAGATAGGAAGGAATTGGAAAGCATTCCCTGCAACAATATGCAGTTTATCTTAGTTTCACACAAGTGAGACGTGGAAATTGCCTTGTAACCACAGAATGGTTTCGTCTGTAAACAATGTAAAGTTCTGACATCTCTGCAGCTCATTGAGGAAAAGAAAATATTTTATTTTTTCTTTCTTGCTGGATACAAGGAGTTCAGTCTTTCCTCTGAGCAGAGCAACTGAACCAGGAAGAGGAGGCTACGTTGACAGCCTGAGTTTACTCATGGAAAAAGTGCACAATGTAAGTTCTGTTCACTGACTGACTTTGGAAGCAAGTCAGTGGAGAACAAAGCCATCTCAGTCCGGCAGCGCTACGTGGGTTTTTGGTCTGTCCTCAGGTTTTAGAAAGTTGTACAGGGGATACATCGGGGCAGTCTCTCACAATAGGATGTGTGGGTATGACCCTTCATCAACCAGCAGTCCAAGTAACCCCCTGCCTGGGTTTAGGTATGAAGACCAAGGAGCAGGAGGGTGTCAATATGGCAGAGACAGGTCCAACAGGTGGATTCCCCAGACATAAACCAACAGGCTGCTCTACATGACGTTCTTTGAGTTTTTTAGCTGATTTGGCTGGAGTATAAAAAGACTGTGGGTGTGGGACAGTGTAGTTGTTTGTACTATCACCTCACAGCAAGGCGCACCCAAGTGCTGATCTCAACTAAGGCTTTTCTGAATGAAGTTTGGAGGTTCAGAACTACCTTCAAATAACTGATGATTTTACATGGCCATGTTCAGAGTGTTTAGAAAATGAATGAATGAAAGTGTTGTCATCCTAAACTACACTACATATGGAGAATAACTTGTGGTGTTCCACAAGATTCAATATTAGGACCTAAGTTATTTATAATTATGTCTGCCAAGGAGGTTATGTTTTTCGGTAGCGTTGGTTTATCTGTTTGTCTGTGCACAAGATTACTCAAAAAGTTGTGAATGGATTTTCATGACATTTTCGGGAAATGTTGAGGTTGTCACAAAGAACAAAAAAATTAATTTTGGTGGTGATCTGGATCATCATTCAGATCCAGGAATGTTTTAAAAGATTCTTGTCTGTCTGTGTACAAGTTGTTACTGCGTGAGTGACCCTAGGGTCTAGGCAAAGGTCTCTGAGTGTTTCTGGTTGAAAGACTGATTTTACTATAAATTTGGATTGAAACTTATAACATTTGCAGTAGATTCAAACTTATTTAGCTTAGAGGGCTTGAATAATTTGACATCAGGCTCTATTAATGAAAATATAACCAAACGTATGGTGTCTGGTGGTTTCAGAGAAATATAACAATAAAGCGATAATCTATTTTTTGTGTTCTGTATAAACTTTGAAGAATATTGGATACAAAAATACCTGTCTATATTGTATTGATCACTTCTAATTTCATATATGTGAGAATTAAGGGAAGTTCATTATAGCATATAAGGTAGAATATAATGTGATATTAGTTGACTGTGAGAGCTATATGATAATAAATTATGCATTGTGTTGTTTTGTGACATTTTGAATTCCCGGTAGTTTGGGTTAGAGATAAAAAGGATTCAGCTTGGGTTTATTCTTTATTAGGTGCTTTGTTTTATACTGTAAAGCGATTCATTAATATTTAAATGTGTTAAAAAAAATCAAACTAAGCTCATTCATTCATTCATTCATTCATTCATTCAAAGTAACTGTGGTCAAGAGAATGCCCACGTGTTGTGAGCACACTGATTCATCTGTGTAGGTTTGTGTGTGCACAGCAAATGTACATAACATGTGTACATTCCAGAGAAACTACTTCTTGCTGTCAAACTGCACAACAGTAGACCAGTGATGAAGAGCAAGGAGGAATTTAGTCCAAAGAGACAGAAATGCCACACCATGTATGGTTGTATCTGACGCAAAATTACACAACTTTTGCTGCTAGAGTGAGTGTGGTGAGCACGTGGTCAGTCGTTCCCACATTTTGGACGTGTCCTTCTATTGAATCCTTCTGGCTGGATGCAGCAGCAATCATATAAAAATTCCTGAGGTTTTCTGTTAGGGTAGGTCACCTATAAATCTTTACCAAATTTCTGAAGGTTCAAATGAAAGTAATCAGTACCTTCTGATGGTATTTTTCATTTTAATAAAGATAACCTATCGGAGCAAATCATAATGTGTGGCTACAAAAGGAACATGAATAAATTGATGGAAAATTGTGTGCCTATTGTGACTGCCAGACAGATTATTGGTTATAGTATGCCTTCTGAATTCCATGGAGAATTAGCAAAACTTATCCAAAATAAGCAGAATAATAGTATGTGCTCAAGACTAAGAGGAATCATCAAAACAGAGCATAACTTGTGTCACGTGTATCGTTTCTCCAACTCAGCCATAATGTGTTGCGAATGTAGAAAACAAGACTATGAGCTACTCGGAGTGAAGACAGCTATTTGATAAATTCTGGAAGAGGCAGTTGCGTAATGTATGGACTTTAACCATGGGAAGTTTTTTCTCTTCCAGAGAAGAAAGCAATATGACGACAATAAAAGTACCGTAGCTGAACATCAAAAGTCATCTTAGACTCTACTGGGGATACTTTGATTAGGTAATAGTTGTGGCTGAGTACTTGAGTAGAGGTTTTAAGCCTGGATGAAGGTAATAATTTAGAGCAGGACATGCAGGAGACTTGTTGTGCGTGTATTTTGGCTGTTCCTGCTGGACAAATACTGCTTGGCTTGGTCAGCGACTGACCAAGATAAGTAAGTGGATAGACAGAAATCCCAACAGGACTTTAAAAGATTTTTATTTTGTCTCAGTAGCCACACAGTATCTTTCTTTCCTTTTTCAATCCCACACATTTATTAATATGCACACGCTCTGGGAAACGACGAGGCCGCAGCTTCCTCAGACGGCACACAAACATTCAACATTGAGACATCTTGTGCCCCTGCCAGCCAGCGTGGGTCTGGCTCAGCCAGTAATAGCCGTGCCACAAAGAGGCTGCAGCCAAGCAGAACTAACAGTCCTTTCACAGGGGCAGAAAAAAGCAGGACGGAGGTGGCATACAAGGTCAGTTGGTGCTATGGCATCATACTGGGCACAGCTTCCCCGTCTGATGATCCACTTGTGAACTACAAGCTGTCTGCAAGGCACATTCCTCCAGTTTACACTTGCTATGCAAGGCCCAGTCGCTTCAGCATAATTCATGTTTACATGTATCTCTGCTTCTGATCATATGTTTGCATCAAGTGACGCCAGCTGCATGAATCACCAAAAATGCGCAACCTGCCGTTGCTTGTTTCTATCACTGAGCAACAGCAGGGGAATTCCTCTAAAACAGCAGTCTGGGGCCTTATCATGGTTGAAATATGTAAACCATCCCGAGTGTAAAACAACCAAACACCACCCTACCATGACCCTGGGGCCTGTACACAAATACCTCAACAAAATTGTTGGCTTCTGTTGCCATTTCTTATCCTGCTGCATCTGTCCTTCCTCTGCTGCACTTATCACATCCTCTTTCCTCCCTGACATGTGGGCAAAGCGTCTGGCGCACCATGTTGCTTCTGAATGAACGCAACCAAATTACATCAGTGTTTGCCACTGGAACACAGATGATCATCAAAATCAATGAAGCACACCTAAAATAATGTAAAAAAAAATATTAATCATTTGACATTTGTTTTTTGATATCGTGAAAATTGTGGCAAAAGGGATCAGAATTGTCAAAATAAGAGCTGAAACAGTTCGCTGTGTGTCAGAACACAACTTTGGAGACGTCACAAACCAAAATAAAGCCAGAACAAACCACTACAATGTGTGAGTTACCACTTCCTACAAAATACATTTATCGTCGGCTGATTTCAACGTAAATACTCTGAAAGTCGTGAGAAGAAAAAACTTAGTGTGTCTCTAAATCAAGTGGTGGATTTGTTAAATTTCTTCAGGCCTTAACTTATATTTTTGAATGCAGAATGCCTTGATGGGGACAGAACATTGCTAAACTGCACAATTCCGAACAGTAACCCACAAACTATTTTTATGCAGTTCATCAAAAAAAAAAAAAGTGCTAAACAGTCATGCTCTAATTCCAAGCGAAGAAGTTTTACTGTCAAACACTAGCAGAAAAAAACAGATCTTAAATAAAAGCTTAGAATTCCTTCAAAAAACACATACCGACCACCACACTTCATGTCAGAGTTTTAAATAACCTTTAAAATACATGTATGCATGCAATAACATGTGATATTGCTGTATCTGACATGATCTGTAAGTGCTTGGAGTACGTGTTATGAATGACCCTCAGCTACTACCACACCACGTTTACCATTAATACCAGTCAAATTCAATGAGCTAGAGCCATTTTTGTGTCAGCTAATGTTGATTAGCTGTAGCAGCCATCTTGAACTGGGTTGACTTCAAATATTAATGTGCACCAATTAATTACTTTATGAAAGTTTCTTTATAATCCATTCAGTGGTCCTTGAGATATTTTGCTAACAAGCAAGTCACTTAGTGCTTAGAGTACGAACTGAGGACCAATCTCAGCTATGATCACAAAATGTTTTACTTCTATAGCTGTAAAAGTGATTGAGTTATAGCCTTTTTGGGGTTTTCTAAAATCACTTTGCTGTGGCAGGCATCTTTAGCTGAATTGACTCCAAAACTTAAGTATTTGTAGAAGTTAACCCAATGATCACTTTATGAAAGTTTAATTAAAATTGATCTAGTAGTTCAAAAGTTATTTTGCTAACAGACAAACAGGGTTGAAATCAAAAAGCTAATGCTCAAGTTAAACGCAATGATCAGCACTTGTAGTATGTGCTGTGAATGACTCTCAGCTATACCCACACCAAATATTAGCAAAATATCCACTTTAAAATTCCTTCATAGCCATTTTTATGTGTTTTAAGGTGAGTTGGCTATCTTGTACACGATACAGACAGCCTTTGGAAGCAGACAGTAACAAGTACTTGTGCCAAAGACACTGAGTTTGGTTGATGGTTGAGTTGATCACCATGGAGTCCAAACACAGAATCTGTCCAGAGGAAGCTCCTGCCAGTGACAGACAAAAGGAAAATCTCTGCAGCGACATCAAGACAAACAAGATGGTTATCTCGCACAGACACAAACAAACTTAGGCACGCAGGCTCGTATGCGTAGGCTCGTTATGAGTTACTGTATCAGCACGCCGCATCGTGCACGTGTGCGCATTGTTCCACATGCTCATGTGCTATTTAACGGCTTCACACGTCCCCATCTTCTGCTTAATGAGGGGCGAGAAGAGGGGCGGGTCTGCGCTGCGGTGCAAACTCATAAGCTGCTGAAAAATGTTGTTTACACTGATGTGAGTTTAAACTGTCATCCAGTGGGCTCGGGCGAGCTTTGAGAGGAGTTGCACAACGCAGACAGAACTTGTATTATTGTAACACTAGAGTCAATGATACGTCTGCACAATATTAATGTTTGATGAGTGCACTTCCTGTGGGATTTACTACACAAATGACTCAAGAGAAACATCCATACAGCCATTCAGGGTGTGTGTAACATAACCTCTTTGTTAGCTGCAGACTAAATAAACTCAAATGTGACTATGGCATGAGATCAGAGATTCATCAAAGAAGATAAACACTTCCATGCTTCTTTTCGCTCAACTCGTCTGTCTTTTTTTTTTTTTATTCAGATTTCAGCAGAATTTTCAAGAAAGCATGTTTTATATGTAAGCGATAAGTTTTACTGAACATGTTTTAAAGTTCAGTGAGTGCCCTTAGTAGCAGTCTTGTTCTAGTTTGCAAATGCCACTCGAAACGCAGCCAACACTTAGCGCCTGTCAATCCAGCAGAGAGCACACAGTCCAAACGAGGAAACTAAACCATCCCTGCCAATGATGTTTTGCATATAGAAGTGTCAAAAAAAAAAAAAAGATAAACACACATTCTTGTCATCTCTCGCTTCATTTAGAGGATTCTTCTTTTCACCTCTGGCACAGAGGAGGTGTAAATGCTGCATTCTGTTCATTCACAGCTTAATGAGTCTGTCCTGCGCCTGAAGGTGTCCAACACTTTGTATCTCCATGGACCGTCTAAGCAGCTCTGCTTCTATAAATGCTAATAATCTCCATGCTTTTTAAAAAAAAATGTATCAGTCTGAATCATATGTTTTCTCTTTCTCCCTCCTCATCCTCCCCCAGGTTTCACATTCTGCTCTGTCATTATTGAGCTTTACAGTTACATGGGTACCATGGAATTTAAAGTCCCAAGGCAACAAAGTTCATGCTCAATCCTCCAGGTATCAAATCCAATAATTCTCAGTCAGGTCACCTGGACATTTTTTTTTTTTTATATATATAGAGACGTTTCGCCCTCTATCCGGAGGGCTTCATCAGTCTGATGAGTTCCAGTAAACTGAATCCCCAACAAGAAGTAAACTCCTTAAGTGGACCAACCAATTTGCTGGAGCTAAGATGGTTTCTGGGGGTCGTCCTGTCCCCCGTCGACTCCTCCCAGGCAGGCAGACACAGCCAAAGTGGTTCAAGGCAACAAAGTTCATGCTCAATCATCCAAGTATCAAATCCAATACCGGTAATTCTCAGTCAGGTCATCTGGAAAAAGATGACTGGTTAAAGTCCCAACGTATTTTGGTCATCAATAAAATGTTTATAGCCACACATATGGATCTATGACATCATGAATGCTCAAGCTATTTGTTCAAGAAAATCTTCAAAAAGTTGCAGAGTGATTTCTGCAAATGGATATTCACAAATCCAAATTAAGAACCTACATATATCCTTAAAGGTATGCATATTGCCCAGTGTCTTTTATGGCAAAGTTATAAACCACGATCATCTTATGTTCCGAAATGGCAAAGTCGATAAAACCTTGAAAAAAATTGTTAGAGCTGTCAAGCTCAGAGTTATGAATGATTCACAGATTCTATGACATGAAATTTAATCTCAATGTCTGTAAAATTCACAGAGTTAAAGCCATTTGTGTGTTGGCTAATGATGATGCCATCTTGAACTGGATTGACTCGAAATGCCCATCATATGTGGACGTGCAACCACTGATTACTTTCAATAAGTTTTGTTCAAATATGTCCAGTGTTTCATGAGATATTTTGCTAACAGACAACTAGCATTGTCATCAACAGTTTATGCTCAAGTTATTAAAAAGAGCATCTTGTTAAATGTTTAGCACTTGGTGTATAAATAAATAAATCTCTCAACTACAACCACAATAAATTTTAGCACAACACTCCTAAAATTGACATGATTATATCTGACTTTGTGTTTTCCAAAGCCAGTTGGCTGTGGCAGCCATCTTGAACGGGATTGGCTCCAAAGGTTATTCAGTCGTAGATATATATCCAGTAATTACTTTCTGCAAGTTTCAATAAATTTGGCCCATTAGTTCTTAAGATATTTTGTTAATAGATGGACACTAGCACACACTGACAGACAAAAACATTATTGTCTACCTTTGCCTTTCAGAGGAAGGTGATAAAAAAGCTAGTTTCTGTTACGTGATGTAAAAAAAACAACCCTGGCGTTGTGGAATCTGTAATAAAAATAATAGAAAACACGAGCTGAGCACAACTACTGCTGTGTGGCTGTCCGTCTCGGGCAGTTTTTCGGTTACCTGCTGCTTCCTGGCACTGGCTGCGGTTAATGTAGGCAAAGTGGTGGCGGCAGCTCTGAGATTCACAAACACAGCCCTCAGCAGTCAGGTTGCATCCGGAGAACGTGCACGCAGGATTAGCCGGTCCCACGTACTTCTCTCTGTGTCTCTCCCGATGCTCGTGTCTCCAACCGTCTGAAATCCACACAAACCGCAGTGATCAATGAGTCGCACACAAAGGCGGCACTCAGGGGTGATCTAGAGACCGCAACATATAGCCTGCACTTGTGTGTCATCACTATGATATGTAAGTATCATTAGTCACATCAGAGCAACATCTGTTTTGGATTAGCTCCTCTCTATGAATAGCATTCTCTAATCTAACCCGGATACTGCTGTCTGATCATTACATCTGGGTCTTTTAACATAGACGGAGGCGGAAAGAGGGGGATTACCTGACTTGCCGGCCTTCAGACAGGTTTCTCTGTTCGGATAGGTGAAAGATCCCAAGCAGGAGTGCCGTGCATCGCACACACACTGACCCCCTGCTCTGTCACAACCTGTCATGAGTGGACAGCGCTCATCCTCGAGGCCTGCTTCTGGATGGTCAGGAAGTACTGTGGAGGACAGCAGGGAGACAAAAAAAGTTGTTTAATTAGGATCAAACATAACTGGACAGACTTACAAGCAAAGCATAAATTATTCTAGAATAGCCAGCTCTGTTACAAGATACCCTGATAGAACCACCACCAAAGTGGCCCTCCTCCTCCTCTTTGTGCCACACTACAGCTAATAAGCACATTTGTTTGCTTTTGTTTCATAGTACGGGGCCCTCCCAGGGTTTCCATCTTCTTTAGAGCCTTTCTCTGAAATGAGTCTTATTCCAAGATTCCACAATTTTTAGCCCCATTTGGAAGCAACTTTACAAGAGGAAGGAATGTCCCATTGGATCCACCAAGATCCTGGGATTAAAGGGCTCCAACTAACACTACCCTCTGTGTTACTCTCACCTTCATGAATGAACAAACAGCAGAATAAATAGGGTAAGACAAACCGTAACTTTCCTAAGCGCAGTGCTTTCCTAAGCATTTAGCTATTATACTTTTAATCAGTGGTGTAGAAAAGCATCACTGCAACTTAAACTACAGAATACCTGTTGTCCTCTCCAGGGAGTAACACATAAGAACAATGCACCAGAAGAAAAAAAGTTATGTCAAAGGTTTCAAACCTGACCATGACCTCTTCATGGTGCTTCTATCTGATAGTTGCCTATGGATGCAAAAGAAAAATCCTTGTCAAGTCCACTCTATAACAAGGTGATTCAGTGATTGCGAAAAGATAATTTGTAATCTTGTTTTCATTTGTAGTAGATAATACAAAACTTGTAGATCAGTCCAATACAGATAACGGATGTAACTGGGACTCTGTGTACATTATTTCGTTCCACCACATGTACCACATGGGGTGCGAATGACAAATAAAGAACCTTGAATCCTTGAATAACCCATCCCAAGAGAGATTTAAGTGAATCAGTGCAACAGTAGAAAGTGCCATTGCAAATACTTGGACAGATACTGCTGATGACTCCTGCTATTCAGTAAACTCTGGCCAGTAGAAGCACTGAAGGTAATATTACCTTTAACTTGAGCCAGCCGCTGCTGTTAATGGCTCTCCCAGACGGTCAGCGGCCTGGCAGAACACAAGCTACTTGTCCCATAACTTTCCCTGTGACTTACCTTCACCCTAAAACGATCCACACCTACGCATTTTTTCCACCACGAGGCTTTCCTGCCAGGGTACTTTCGTTTGAGATGTTAATAGAGCGGGCCTGTGCGAGGTGCTAAATCTGGCAAGTAGCAGTCAAAACAATCAATGAAACGCTGGACATTGTCTTGACTAAATTTAGCTTGTCTCCATCCCCAAATAAGCCCCGTGTGTTTTATTCTTCCCCATCCTAGAACCCTTCAGCCTGACCCAAGTCTGTTATGGTCCCGTCTTGTTATCTGTCATCCGGTCTGGCATGAGTCTAGCTAAAGTCTATAAGGCTTCTTTGCGAGGGGATTCCTCTCTCGGCTACTGAGACTGCTTGTCTTGGCATCCAGAGCCAGGATGGGAAAGCTGACCTCTAGAGGCCCCGAGGCTGATAGCGAGCTTAAAAGGAAGTCTTTGAAACGTTAGATAATACCAGAGGAAGGGAGAAGTAGAAGGCATGTGAAGGAGTGCAGTGGACACTGTGTCCCTGTAAGACAGGCATTCTGTTACGTGGTATGTTAAGTGTGTCTGGAACTTAAAGGAATTTGGCTCGAGAGGATTGGACGCATTGATAAGGTTTGAAACAAATCACTCTCACTCCATGAAACTGACCTGAATGATTAGGTTAACAGGTTAGGTGACATCTTGTCAGAGCAGGTGTATGTAGGCTTCAGCTCGACTGCACAGTACATTTTATAATGTACTTTTGTCATCATAAGGACTTCAAATACAAGAGTAATTGAATCAAATAACCAATATTGTTTTAGGTGAGGCACAGCAATCTCGTAGGGTTTGTAAAACTAGTTTTGGTTGTTGTACCTACAGGAATAATCAGATATATACATACCAAAGCCTTGGTGTCAATGTCAGCTTGTTTTCCTTTGAGAAGAGACACCTAATCAATAAAGTTTTCCACTCAAACGATATGCAACATGCCACTTTAACTGGTTTTTTTATGCTAAAACACTAAGAGGTTTCGACCACCCAGTGAATCAAACCACGAGCGCAAGAATGAGATCAGACAAACTGAAACATTTCTCCCCTTCTATTCTTGACTGCAGCTATAATCACTTTAAGACGTTTGCAGCGTGAGGAGGGAAATCTGGGATCAGCCTCCAGTAGCCTACCTACCGTGGCCCCTGAAAACACACTGGGAGGTGTTGATTTACCCCCACCCAGACCCTTTGGGATATCAAGGCTGCGTGTGTCTGATTTAGGAGGTCAGGAGCGGCAGCAGCAGGAGAAGCATGACTCAGTCAGAGGAGCCATAAGGTCTCCTGTTTGTTCCAGAACTGTTAAGCTGAAGAGATGTCCTCCAGACGCCGATGAGGCATAATCACCACCTGCATCTCCTGGGAACACCTGGCAACAGACGAAACAAAAAAAAAAAAAAAAAAAAACTTGGACCACCCTACAGAGGAATGATGGAGTAGCAGGGTCAAGAGATGCAGACACCCGCCAAAAGCTGCTTACTCTTAGAGCCTTGTCAGTCCTCTTCAATCATCCACAAACAAGCGTGACGGAATACAGGTGGCACGGCTGGAGGGGGTCCATTTGTTCCTCAATGGAAAGTCAGCCTCTCTGACTTTGATGAGGAACCTAGAACCCTGTGGCATTTTTTTGAAGTTGGCAAAGTGACTCAAATTGTGCGTAGAATGAGCACATGCGCCATATAAAAGCTTGCAGCTCCGCTTGGTAGAAACCGAACAGTGGGGCATTGTGGTTTTACACACTCCAGGCAGAGCCACACACTGATGTGCGCCTGAAGAAAAATGAAAACGCAGTCCGTTTATCGCATCTCCGAGAACTTTTAGACTGAAATAAGCTGGCCATGAGAGTCCACAAGTTTCACACAATCACGTTTGGTTCTCTTCTTATCTCGGCTCCATTCTAAATGTTTTTGAAGCAAAAAGAACAGGACCTGCTACTAGCCCAGCTGAGACCTTGTGCCAGATCGCTCCTGCCAGACGTATTGTCACGCCAGGGAGAATAACAAAGCTGCTGAACATGACTCCTCAGTTAAGAGCCCCTCAGATATGGGAGCTGATCCAAGCAGCAGGAGACACTGATAGTCCCAAGAATGAACTGATAATTATCACGCACCGCTGAAAGCGAAGGTGGAGCGATAATGTTTTTGTCTGTCTGTGTGTATGTGGGGGTATAGTGCAGCATCAATGAATAAAGCTCTCAGAAAGTAATCACTAGTTACATGCTTACCACTGATTTAACTCCAATTTAAGATGGCAGCTACCTTAAACAACTTTAAACACACAAATGGCTCTAACAGCCAGTTTTACAGATGTCTCACTCACATGGTTGCTTAGATTTATCCCCATCACATGAGCACTGTACACATTGTGCAACACTTTCACTTAAAACATTAGCAATGATTTTATGTCTGTCAGCAAAATATCTCATGAATCAATGAATGTGGCATAATGAAATTATCAGTAAAGATGGCCACCACAGGTAATTGGCATTGGCAAACGCATAATGGCTATGACCCAGTCAGTTTTACAGATATAGTGAGCTTAAATCTGGTTTGGTAGTAGCTGAGAGTTACTCAACACTCTGCTGACAGATCATACATGAGATTGCACATGTTATTTCACCTGTATCTTTTCAACTCGACCATGAGAGCTGCGCTCACCTTTACACACCCCAGTCTCAGGGATGGTGGCAGCTCCTGTCGTGTTGACAGAGGCGCAGGTCAGCCCCAGGGCGCAGTATCCGTGCACCCAGTCCGGACCGCCGCACGTCTCCCACTCCAGCCGCGCGCACTGATCGCAGCATCCGCAGGGATCCCTCGCCAAACTCCGGCCGCGCTCACAGGCACCGCGCGGCGCTTTGACCGGACAAGTCCGGAGGTTACAAGGCGTGCACTCGTGAGCCAGGAGCGCGCGCACCAGAAAGAGGACGTTCAGCGAAATAACGGAGCATTTTTTGCCGAACATGTTTGCGAGATTCCTTTCTTCTCGGGGTACTTTTTTATTTATTTATTTATTTTTTTTTGCAATGAACTGGTCCACTTCTGTCACATGAACGAGACGCGCCCCCCCCACCCAAAAAAAAAAAAAAGTAAGTTGTCAGAGCTGCTGGAAAAAGTTAAGTTTCACGAGTTCTTCACCAGAAAGGCGCCACGAGACAGGACAGGAGTGTGCGCGGTGATCCAGCGCCTCATCCAAGGACACATCCAGCACAAAGGAGTCCTCTGGGGGGGTCGCTGCTCCTCAGCTGCATAGAAGATGTGAGTCTTAAATTGATATCCAGGCATATAAAAATTAGCAGCGCGACCCTCCCCCCTGCGACTGACACAAGCACCGACCAATCACAGGGAGGGAAAGGAGGGCGGGTTTATCCGACCTGCCCCTGTGTTGCGCAATAATTGGTCATCCATACGTGTTGCTCTGTTTACAGGGATGTTCGTGGTTACATTATTGCCCGCCGCCGTGGGTGAAGACGGAGTGAGCTGTTAGCAAAATATCCCATGAATCACTGAACGGAGTTAAATGAAACTTTCAGAAAAATAATCTTTGGTTTCAATTTGATTACATCCATCCATCCATCCATTATCTTTACCCACATCTACAACTTATTTACAGTATTACCTTTTGGAGTCAGCTCAATTCAAGATGGCCTTAGTGAAAGCAAAATTGATTATAACTCTGTGAATTTGATAGCTATTAAGATAAAATTTGGTGTTGGGTAGTTGAGAGTGATGCTTAGGGCATACTTGAGTGCTAAATGAGTGTGTTTTACCTTTTGCTATTAACTATTAAAATCAACTGTCTGTTAGCAAAATATCTCATGAATTACTTGATGGATTTTCAGGAAACCTGCAGAAAACAGTCGTTGGGTGACCATGTACGATTGATTCAATTATGGACTCAACCCAAAACAAGATGACTGCCACAGCCAGCTGACCTCAGCAAACACAAAAACGAGTATAAATAGTTGTAATTTATAGATAATGAGCTGAAATTCGGTGCATTTATAGCTGAGCATCATCACCAATGAACACTTTGAGCACAACAAATTGCAACACAAATTTGCTTCATACCACAACATAAGATGTTGAAGTCAGCCCTGTTAGACTGTTAACAAAATATCTCATGAACCACTGGATGGATTTTGATGAAACTTTCAGAGAATGTACATCTGTAGTTAACTTTTGGAGTTAACCTAATTCCTGATGGCTGTCACAGCTAATCAGCCAAAGCAAACACAAAATGGCTATAAATCTGTGACTTTAAATATATTTAACCTACAGTTTGGTGTGGTAGTAGCTGAGAGTCATTTACATCATGCACTTTAAACTAAAAGATCGTGAAAGAACTTGCAACAATGCATGATATAAGCTCAGCATATTTTTTAAGTTTGATTTAAATAGCTGTATCAGTAATTCTGTCATTTCTCAATATTATTTTAGTCTAAAGCTCTACCATGAAATAAGGTGAGCTATATGAGTTACTTCAAAAAATGCTGGGCCTTTAATTTACAGACTTCTTTTAGAGAAAGGATGTTGTCTGTCAGAGAGTTCCGGTTTTATCAATACATCATTTCACAGCTTTCTCAGCTGTGCTTATTGTTGTATTTGTGTATACAGAGGGCTGAGGGAAGGTGAAAGATCATGTCATATTTGTTGAAGCAGTGTTTATATGCTCACATTGACAAATGGATGGTGTGGGCAGAGGGTACAGCTGGCGGCTGGCTGTCACAGTGTTACACACCCTGAAAACACCAGACCTCCCATTCTCTGCTTCTGTGTTTCCCAATGCGGAGCCGATCGTATGGAGTTCTCCTCAATAACGCAAATTTTTCTCCACCGTGTCAGCACACCACCTCCTTCATTTGCAACATCTGCCTGGAGCCAGCCGCTCCAACACAAACACAACAGCCAGGAAACTGGCCCCGTTACACGCATAATCAAGTCCCTGCAACACAAATCAGCTCTTGTCCTGTGGCCTCTCCCTCCACCCTCCCTCTCTGCATCCTCTGCTCGAAGCGCTCATTAAATTGGTCGATCTGCTGTCTGGTGGCTGGACACACAACAGATCGGACCAGGACCATCGAGAGCGCAGGTCTCCAAGCACTTACGGAGAACAAGACCAGATGCCAGTCCTCATCTGAAGCTCCTTTAGCAATCTTGGACTAGGGGGTTGGGTTTGGTCTGCTCATGAAGTCACAAGTCTCTTTTCTCATCTTTTTCACAACATAAACATTGTAATTTGATCTTAAAAGTGTTATTTCCCCTCTCAGAGGGGCAAATCAGAAGTAAAAACTAGAAAGCACACTCGTTAGACTCCCTTTGAGTGTCTTGTGTCAAATGTTGCATCAGCGTGGTATTTGGCATGTTCGTTAAATATGTCCTCAAATGCTACAGTGACGTTTATACAGTCCAAAAAGTGTCAAATGAATGTGTTTAAATGCAAATCTCTGCACAATCTGCAACCCTTGGCGTTGGTAGACTCCTAATGGAGCAAGCAGGAGGAAAAGGTGAGGCTGCGAAGGGCGTTTTGCACGTCTTGAATAACTGTAGTGTGTGCGGTCTAATGATGTTCTGAGTCACAGATCTCTGAGAAAATACAAGTCATCAGCTCTCCGACATGGCAGTGCCCTGTTGCAATGACAAATATTCAGGCCTTTTCTTCTTGTGACCTCATCGCTCCTGACCACACCACAATGAGGTCTCGGGGTGTGGGGATCACTTCTACAGATTAGTTGACCTCTCCTCCTGCCACACACTTGTAGTCTCACTGCTGCGGAGGCCTCGGGCTGATGGTGAGGATGTGTTTCCAGGAGCGTAGATAGGTGTGAATGATGGTTGTGCAACGATAAAGGGGTGAACATGGAGTGGGATATGGAGTGTTGATCGCATGTCGAGTGGACAGCGTGCAGCACACCTGATTACCAGTCTGCAGACGTTCTCCCGCAGCGGACCGCTTATCTCTGCATGAGCGCATGCAGGACTGAGCTATACTTGTCTGACGCAGTCCAATGGGTGGGGGTATAATGGCAATGCATACTGACAGCTGAAAGAGTTTCAAAGCAATTCAAACATCATCTAAATAGTGGAAGTATGGAGCATTTAGTGTGGAGACTAAGCAACACATTGGTTAATGAATGGCCTGTTTGAAGCTCGGCACAGATGAGATCATCTGGTTTTTATGTGAGCAAGAGGAAAAAAAAAAAAAAGAAACATAACAAAAAAGGTATTAACAAGCTTCTCGTAAATTTGGCAAAAATAAAAATATTCTTTGTGAAACAAGTATTTTTGTGTGTGTATATATAAACAACTATACAACATGTTGAAGTAGTACCAAAGACCATTTCTTCTCTTTTCCATTACAGCCATTAAAAAGAACTCACAAGTGCTTTTGTTTTTCACTGTGGATTGTTTGGATTATGACAAACAAAAAGAGAAACTCTCTTGTAAAGTATTGTAGCAGATTTGAGGTAAAGTTTGTGTGAAAAAACTACATTTCTACATTTTTTTTCCCCTCTGATTGTCAAATTCTTTTATGTCCCTTGTCTCTCTGTGAGGTCTGGTCCAGTTGTTGTTTTTCTTGCAAGGACTATAATAATGTGTTTTGACACCATCATATCTCCTGTGATCTTTTTCTGAGCAGCAGAGATTCACCTCAGAAAAAAACAACAACTTTGAGCCTCTGTTGCTGTATGGTGACGCTCGAGCTTCTAGGGGTCACTAAGGTCAAATAGTCCTGAGGGTTCAATATGCACCTTAACTTTGTAGTATGTGAAATGGCTGCTTTGTGTTAAAAGGACATAAATTCAGTGAGTGGTGCATCATCATGTTGTGTGAGGTGCTGCATCCTCTCTTTAAAATACTGTTGAATTAAAGCACTGAACCATCTGAATGGAATTTGAACAAATCCATAGATGGTTATTTTGATTTGCTCCCTGGTTTGTTCAACATCTTGGTTCGAGATAAAATACTTCTACAGATACTGGATGGAATGCTTTCAAAATATAACTGTTAACATTAAAACGATTACAATACAATAACAATATGATTTATTAGTGGTGTAACGGTACTGTGAGGGTTTTCAGGCAGGACAGGAAAGAACCCAGTTGTGCAGGCAGGACTCGAGAGGCAGGACGTAACATAAAATACTTTTAATGATAAAGTAGCAAGGCTGACGTGGCAGCAACTTACATGACTCGGAACAGTCTTGGAACATGACAGACCAGGACAGGACAAGGACTATACCCAACGAATGAATGAACTGACAAATAACAAGAGTAACAGATGGGCTTAAATACACAGACAGGACATGAGACAGGGGTGAAACTAATCTTAGGTAATTAAAGCGAGACACTAGGAAGTACAGACAAAGCTCACCAGAGGGTGCCATCCTTACAGTACCCTCCCCCCAAGGACGCCCCCTGGCATCCCCAAGAAACCCACCCCAAAAATAAGGGTGGAGGGCACGAGGACCACACAAGGATCAAAACAAAACCGACAGGATCAAAGCCTGGGATCTGAACTAAACACACGGGGAACACAGAAATGTCCAGATGGCCAGGAGACCATCACAAGACTGGACAGACATCAGGGTGGGCGACCAGGAGACCATCCATCACTGGGCCAAAGTTCAGGTGGGCAGCTGGGAGGCCATTTGATGGGCCAGAGCAGGTCAGGAGGATGGCAGGGAGGCTGTCCAGCACGGGGCCAAAGTTCAGGTGGGCGGCCGGGAGGCTGTCTAACTGACCGGAGCAGGACAGGTGGGCGGCTGGGAGCCCGTCTGACATTGGGCCAAAGTTCAGGCGGCCGGCCGATGGAGACGGACACCCTAAGGACACATGAGTGTCCAGCACAGGGAGCGAGGAGCGGGAGGACCATTGTCTCTGCAGATGATGGAGGAGACATGGCTACAGGGGGTGTGTGTTACCTGTTTTTCAGTCTGTACAGCACTTCGGTTGGCCTTGTCAC